TTCTAGTTCCATCCAATTATTGTCCATTTTTCTCATGTCCATCTCCATCTCCCAGCGTAATGTGTTCTTTGGTCTTCCTCTTTTCCATTGGCCTTGAGGATTCCATGTGAGGGCTAGTCTTGTGACGCAGTCGGGTGTGTAGGGCCAGAGAAATGTCATTAAGCCCTAGCCAAATCATCCAGCAGTTGAGCCATTGAATATCGAACAAGTCATCGATCCTCGTCAAGGTCAGGGACAACCGACGCGCATCAGTTAATCGTATTCCATGAACTGGCTCATGCGGCAGTGGTCTCACTTTCGCTTGTATCTACTTTAACCAATATATTTCTGTAATAACGTTTTCTGTGTTGTACAGTCTTCAGAGCATCTATGGCACCTTGATACGTCAATGGGGTAGTCCACGCAAGGTGCTGACCACGTGCTGTGACTTCGACATTAGCTAATTTGTCACACCATTCACGTCTAACTCCAGTAGGCCTCCAATCATTTCGATATAGATCATCTACGTTGGTGATCTACAGGTGCTTTCCTCAATCTGTGTCCTATCCACTTCCAGCGCTTCTTCTTGATTTCTTCCTGAGCTGGAATCTGGTTTGTTGTTTCCTACAGTTGGTTGTCGCTAATAGTGTCCGGCCAACGGATCCAAAGTATTTTGCGTAGACAACTATTAACAAACGTCTGTATCTTCTGTATGATGGCTTTCGTAGTCCTCCACGTTTCCGCCCCATACACTAGAACTGTCTTGATATTTGTATTGAAAATTTTGACTTTTGTGTTAGTTGACAGTTGTTTCGGGTTCCAGATATTCTTCAGTTGTAGATATGCTGCTCTTGTTTTGCCCATTCTTGCCTTCACATCTGCATCAGATCCACCCTGTTCGTCAATGATGCTGTCCAAATATGTAAAGGTTTTTACATCTTCCAAATCTTCTCCGTCAATTGTGACTGGATTAGTGCATGCGGTGTTGTATCGGAGAATCTTGCTTTTCCGTTTGTGTATATTGAGACCCTACTGCTGCTGCTACACTGATCGTTTTCTCCTGTATCTGTTTTTGTGTGTGCGATAGAAGAGCCAGATCATCTGAGAGGTCTAGATCGTCCAGCTGCATCCTAGATGTCCACTGTATTCCGTGTTTCCCTTCAGATGTTGCCCTGATTGGTTTACATTTTCGTATAAATATTCATGTATATTAGAGTAAAGCCTGATGACGATCTAATTGAAAACAATTGTTCGCTTATATGTGTTGTTCTAAGTTACTGCTACGTCTGATTTCAGTGCCTCTGCTGGAATGTTGTCTAGTTCTCCTGCTTTGCCACCCTTGATTTGTTTGATGGCCATGCTGATTTCTTCAATTGCTGGTGGGCCAACATCGTTTGGGTGGGTTCAGTGCAGCTGGTCGATTCAAGAGTTCTTTGAAATGTTCTACCCACCTGTTTCGTTGTTCTTCAATGTTGGTGATTACCTCGCCTTCCTTGCTTTTCACTGGTCGTTCTGGTTTACGGTGATTTCCAGAGAGTCACTTTGTCGTGTCATACAGTTCTCTCTCATGTTTCTTCCTCTTGCAACCTTTTCCGCCGTCCTCGCTAAATCTTCCACATATTTACGTTTGTCGGTTCTGATGCTTCTCTCCACTTGCTTGTTTACTTCTGTGTATTCGGCTTGTGCCCTGGCATTCTCTGCTCTTGTTCGGCTGGTATTGATTGCTGCTTTCTTGTTCCTCCTTTCTCGAATCTTATCCAGTGTATCAACAGTGATCCATTCCTTGTGATGGTGCTTCTTGTGACCCAGAACCTCATGACATGTTGATGTGATTGCCTCTTTGATCCCCTTCCAGTTGCTCTCCACAGTAGTTCTTTCTCCATTGAGTAGATCATGAAAGGCCTGGAACTTGTTGCTGAGGACTATCTTGAATTTGTTGAGTTTGTTAGTATCCTGGAGAAAGGCCGTATTGAACTTTTGTGATACTGTCTGCCCCGTTGTCCAGTGTTTCTTGAGTTTCAATTTCATCTTGGCGACCAGTAAGTGATGATCTGATGCTATATCAGCTCCTCTCTTGGTTCTCACGTCCTCTATAGTCCTCCTGAACGTTTTGTTGATGCAAATATGGTCGATTTGGTTTTGTGTAGAGTGATCCGGTGAAGTCCATGTGGTTTTGTGTATGCGTTTATGTGGGAATATGGTGCCGCCTATGACCAGCTTATTGAAGGCACATAGATTTGCAAATCTCTCACCATTTTCGTTTCTTTCTCCCAGTCCGTGTAGTCCCATGATGTCTTCATATCCAGTGTTATCCGTTCCAACCTTGGCGTTGAAATCTCCCATCAGAATGGTCAGGTCCTTTGTTGGGCAGTTCTCGACTATTGACTGCAGCCTATTGTAGAATTGATCTTTAGCGTCTTCATTGTAGTCGTTGGTAGGCGCATAGCACTGGATGATGTTCATTGAAATGCCCTCTTTCTTTGTTTTAAACGAGGCTTTGATGATCCTTGGTCCATGAGATTCCCATCCTATAAGTGCATTTTGTGCTTGTTTGGAAAGCATCAATGCAACTCCTTGTGTGTGTGTGTGGGGGGGCATTTTCTTCATCATGGCCGGAGTATAGCAGAAGCTCTCCTGAAGTTAGTCGTTGTTGTCCAACTTGCGTCCAATGTGTTTCACTGATCCCCAGCACATCTAGGTTGTCGGCCGAGTTCGAGGAAAAGTGTTTTTAGTCATAGTGGATGCACTCTCGAAATGGCCACAAATATATGCTATGGCAAATTGCACAGTCAGTGAAACAATCAGCAAGCTATCTAAATTGCTTAGCTGTTTCGGAGCTCCGGAGAATTTGGTGACTGACAGCGGCTCAAAATTCACTTCAAAATCATTCAAGTACTTATGCAGCATTAATAGAATTACGCATATGCTCTCTCCAGTCTATCACTCTCAATTAAATAGACAGGCATAGCGGTTTGTTGATACATTTAAAAGAGTATTGATGAAAGGTGGAAACGAGAGGACAAGTCTGATGATTACAAATCCTTAACTTATAGAACTAAGCCCAACCCTATTGTCTTAGATGGAAATTCCCCTACTGAAGCTATGTTCGGAAGGAGTATTCGACGCCATGTTATCACTCAAATCAGTGGATGCACACAAAATCAGACTATCCGAAGTTTTAACGTCGATGATAAAGTGGTCATCAAGTCATGCCTCAGAAAAAATCTATAGGAACCTAGAGTTATTGAAAATGGAATGGAAAATGTTTTGTGGATTAGACACATCAGCCAAATTTACAGAGAGAAAGGACGGTGAACACGGTAGACAGATGAGTCAGTCTTCCACTGGAAATAATTACAGATACCCCAATGACAGGAAACCCAACAGACATTCACAATCGCTGGACACCCAAGAAGTCGAGACGCCACCAGGAACCAGTCATCAAGCTGCAAGTAGACACGAAGAATAGGCCTTATTTTTTGAAAGTGAGGGTGTTGAGGAGATTTAGAAAATTCTTCAAAAAAGCTCTGAAAACTCCGGGAAACATTTTATTTAATCAGCGTTGAATAGAAGTACCCTAGGAACATCTAGAAAGTGAAAAGTCACATTTTTCTCGCGTGTTCGAGTTGCCGAATAGATTTAACCTGGGGTTTACTAGAGGAGCTTAGGAAACTGAATCAAGCATTCAGTTGGAAGATTTATCACATTTGAAACGTACAAAGCTAACAAAAATCAACTATTAAAAAAATAATGGTGTATTGGTGATATCCTGATGTGTAGAAATTCCATTTTTCTACGTTTTATCACATAATGTGAGCTACTTCTTTAGAAAGTAAGTACATAAGTAACCGAACTAAACAAATTTCTACCTAATGCTTAATTTATTTGAAATTACCACGTTTAATCTTGATAATGATATCTACAAATATACAGGGTTGTGTAATTGGCCTTAAGTAGTTTCCTATTGAAATATGTGGCCACACTTTTGTTTCAGAAAGATGATCAATGAAAAACCAGGTCCCATTTTAGGTTTTTTTTTCAAATGTCCATCATCGGTGTAGGAAACTTACAGAAACAACCGTTCGCATACTCACAACAGTACTCAAGTTAATCTTACGCTTAAGCCAATTTCTCGTTTCTTAATATTTATTTAACTGTTTCTATGAACCTTTCTTTTATCTCATAATTACCTATATGTCTAAATAAGGTTAACGATTCGAGCGTATCAATTACTAAACTTAATCACTTGAAAATGCGTTGATAATTACATGCTCAAAATTTTGAACCTTGTGTTAAATCACATAATAAATTTTAGTAGTCAAGATTGAAGAATTCCATCCTACGAATACATTTTGTCTCTAAAATCATTCTAGGAGACATATATACCAATTTAAGATGCTACGTAAAGTAGGATAAAACTGACAACAGAGAGAGGCATGGGTTTGTCATTTGATTAACACCATCTGATATATGTATATGATTTGCAGGATATATATATATATATATATATGTTGGGATGATCCAGAAAATTGCTTGCAAAAGACAAGCAAGCATCACAAAACACTAAGAAGCGTTTCATCCAATCAGCGTTCACTTGAAGTCTTAGCCAAAAATATCAAGGAAGCGAAACGTCACATACAGAGGCTCTGATTGGCTGGCTGCTACGCTGCTACTATGTTTAGTAGCATTCCAGAATCTTCTAGCAACCCAAGGACATTTAAAATATTATAAAAACCCTGTATTAAAATGAACCTTGGAGTAAACTACTTCTCGCATACTTCGCATCTTCTCTCTCGTGTTCAGGCCGCTGTATAGTTCTAGTTTGGGGATTACAGAATAGCTTAAGAGACAAATATAGAGTTCTATATATATATTATATATATATATATAACATCAACTTCAACCGTGTTATTATGTTGAAAATAACAAACTTATTTATCTTATGCTACCACTTAATAGTAATGTTATTCAATCTTTAAGACAAAATACAACTGATATGACAAGAACAAACAAACAAATATACTTAGTTAAATATTTTTATTAAATTGATTTATACTACTAAATAAGTAGGCAAAATATGAATGAGAAAGAAAAACACAAAGAAAAATCATAAAACAATTGGAGAATAGAAATTACACTGACAACAACAATACTACTAATTAACAATCATTATGAATTACGCGCCTTGATTGATTGCATTTAGATAAAGAAATAGTTTCAATGTTTCAATATTAAATTGTTTTAATATTTTTATAAATATCTAAACCAGTCATTGTATGTATTAAATTTGGTAAACTATTCATAATTGTAAATAATTCACCAGTTAATTTTGAAACACCAATATCCCCTTCACCTGTACAAATCATAGTGACTTTATCACATTTAGTTAATGGTGAACTAATCTCGGCAGCAATTTTTGGTAATGATTGTAACACCATGTCTAATTTAGCAACATTCTGAAAAGATAAATAAATAAATACAGAAAAATATTATCAAAGTATATTTGCTTGTTAGAAGAACGAGTAACAACAGAACAGATTTATGTACGCGTCAATTATTATTATTATAAGCAAAGATAGATAGTGGCTAGCAGTGGAATCCAGTTTGACGCGCGTTTCGCCCTGTTTGAGACTCGTCAGTTGGATGTACCTGCATCTCAGACAGTTGATGTTCACTCTGTGACTCGAACTCAGTACCATTCGCTTTAAACGCCATCGCGTTATCCACTCAGCTACTGAGTCCTGATAGCCACTTGCTTGTGCAATGGGGTGAAGTTTAATTCACTTGGTATTGTTTTACTTGAATCTTCCAATGGATGTTTTAGGACTGAAATTGATCAGTCGGTCATTGGCATATGTGCATACTGTGCGTATGCCTCGATATTGCCTTAATTTACAAACATTATAAGCAATGATGGATAGTGGCTAGCAGAGGAATTTACTATTTAAACATATAAACATTGGTACAAGGAGGCACCAAACAGATATGCACCATATAAATCATTCGATTTGTGTGAGGGCTGTGATACTGCCCAAATCGAAACAGGTGGGTTTCATAAGAGGGAACACTCGGAGCCTTTGACCTAAAGGCCTAATCCACAAAGACGTGGAGCAGTGTCGGGAGATGCAGTCCTATGGTAGACGGTGATCAACGATTGATTCATACGCCATTTTTTCCCTTAGGATACTGGAGACCATGTGCACCATTGGTTTGGAGTCAGGGTTTTCCAACTTCCTTAGATGGATCCTCTATATTAATCTACCCGATTAAAGCGCCGTACATTCGGTTTTCGTCCTCTCAATTTGGTAAACAACAGTAATGCCGTGAGAAGGCAGTGTGAGTAGTACTTCCCTAGCAGGGGTTGTATCCACGTGGCCATTTGAGAGCATTTCTAGAGGGAGAGCTGACTCATTTCACGCGTCAATACTGAGCCCCGTAAAATTTAGTTATGTGAAGGATAGCAATATAATCTGTCTGACTAAATTAAGTAGATGGAGGGAGTTTCAAACATGCAACTCAATAGTTGAAATTCGAGTGTTTTATCCATTAAGTTGTGATTTCAACAAAATGTGTGATTGTATTTCGACTCTGTTGATCATGAGGTTCTGTGTCAGTGTTTGTCACTGAAAGGAGTACCAAAGAAGTACATTAACCTTATAAAGGCTCTCTACTCGAACACAACTGGTCGAGTCAGAGCTTATGGCGAACTGTCATCAGAATTGATTACCTCAAGTGGTGTTCGTCAGGACTGTCCACTCTCCCCATTCTTGTTCAACTTTGTCGTTGACGTACTTTTAGAAATAACACTCTCCTCATCTAAATTTCCAGGGGTTGAACTTCTACCGGGAGGTTCACTTGTTGACTTAGAATATGCTGATGACATAGTTTTATTTGGTGAAGACGCTGACAAAATGCAGAGTCTTCTGACCACTCTAAGCAACTATGCAAGCATGTTCGGGATGCGATTCTCTCCCTCGAAATGCAAAATGTTGCTTCAGGATTGGGTTACATCGACACCCGAACTAGTGATAGGGAGTGAGGTAGTTGAGTGTGTCGACCGCTTCACTTATCTTGGAAGTCTCATCAGCCATTGTGGTTTAGTGTGTGACGAAATCTCAGCACGGATACAGAAGGCTCGACTAGCTTTTGCTAACTTGCGTCATTTATGGCGTAGGCGAGATATCCGTCTATCAACCAAAGGATGGGTTTACTGCGCAGCAGTTCGTTCCGTCCTACTTTATGGTAGTGAAACATGGCCGGTAAGAGTAGAGGATATTCGTAGGTTACTAGTATTGGATCATAGGGGTGGCCAGACGAAAACATGGCACAAATCCATGAAGTCACTGTTAAGTGGACTGAGCCATGTTAGTAGATGTAGACTAGCTGGTTGGGGACCGCGAGATGATAGCAACCGATGGTTAGAGACCCTGAATGACATGGCTCAAAATCGTTTGCAATGGCGCAGGTGCATACACTCTTTGTGTTCTCCCAAATTCTAATCTCCTGATTCCTCCTTGTCTCTTTTTTTCTCTTTCCAAATTTATTCACTGGATTATGCTCTTTAAATAACATCTCCAAACACTAATCTTCCCGATTACTGCTTATACTCTTGCTACCTCTACCACTACGGGATTTGAATCGACCAGTGCATCTCTGTGCTAATGTGGTATGGCAACTCGAACTGATGTACGTACGTACAAAGTTCTACGTTGTTACTGACTGACTGAATGATCGTTCGTTGAATAATTCGGAGCTACTATATAGAATTATCGGACATAGTAGTAAACATATCACTAACAAGGAACTATAAATAGATTTAATAAATTGAATTTCATTCAGTATATATTAATGTGGGGATATTTCTTCATTGTTATGAGTACACATGTGTTCTCATATTAGTTTATAGATAAAGACCCGATCGAAGCTGCTACCTTGACGCGGTGGTCGGGCTTGCCTATCGTGATGACCCAACCGAGCTATATTGGCTGGAACATATGTTCCTGTAGGTTCTACCATGCCAGGCAGGTCGATTGGTGAACGGTAAGACTAAAAGCAGCAACTCAAGGTCTGAGGGCGAAGTCGTACTGCTGACTGTAGAGAGGTGTGACAGCAGTAAGGTGTTTCCCTCGGACAACCAGCATGACAGCGATGCTGCCTTCCCACAAGGAGGGGTGGGGTTAGAAAAAGTCGACCCTAAAAATGTCACACCTCACCTTACCTCACGGATTTCCGTCTCCGGCGGTAAGGCCCTTTGAAGAACGGAGCTAACACGTCAAAAACCTTCCACAAAAAGGCCGTGCGCGACCGGCCTCAAGCAGTTGTCCCTTGGGCTCTGTGGTCACGCTCCCAGGTCGTCAAGACCAACACTAATCCAATTTCCTTTTCAGGTTCCTCAAGAAATACCCTTCCACGGTGTGGGCAGCCGGGAAGTGACATCAGCCCTCATACCCGTAACAGCACAAGAGACCAAGGTGGTCACATTCAAATCCTTCCTACACCTCCTAATACCTCTCTTATCTCCATGACTAACCCTCCTCACGTCTCTTTATCACCTCGCACCGCTAGGGCAAACGATTCGAGTACGCGGAACGCTATTCCTGGTCTCCTGAAACCACGCTCTAAACTACACGTAGGAGCTTTTAACGTACGAACACTGTGCCAAATAGGACAGCAGGCTTCCTTAGCTAAAACTTTAGAATCTCGCGCCATCGATGTGTGCTGCGTCTCCGAAACGCGCATACAGGATCCGAGTAGCGTCATTCATTTGACCTCACCATGCCAAAATAAAGAACCGACTCGATTCACACTTCGTGTATCTGGAAGCCCTGATTCTGCTTCCCGTGGCCTCGCCGGCGTAGGTATAGCATTGAGTCCTAGGGCAGAACTAGCTCTCTTAGAGTGGATCCCAGTAGACAGTCGTTTGTGCGCTGTCCGACTGAACGGAACAGTAAGAATCCGGAAAGATAGGGACACTCGTCGTTGCCTCTTCGTCGTCTCTGCCTATTCTCCCACTGACTGCAGCTCAGATGATGTAAAAGATGAGTTTTACAGAAAGCTTTCGGACCTTCTCCGAAAAGCTAAGCGCTCGGATGTAGTAATAGTGGCCGGTGACTTTAATGCTCAAGTAGGTAAACTAAGCGATAGGGAAAGACACCTAGGTGGATCTTATGGTGTCGTGGCTCAAAGAACAGATAATGGCGACCGTCTGTTGCAGCTATGCTCAGATAACCGCCTGTTCCTTGCAAATACTAACTTTAAGCATAAGGAAAAACATCTTTTAACATGGCGACCCCCTAATTCGTCCCAACGTTGGACCCAAATAGATCACATCGCTATCAGCCACCGATGGAGGGGCTCGATAGAAGACTGTCGCTCATTCTGGAGCACATGCCTAGATTCAGATCATGCTCTAGTGCGAGCGCGTATTTGCTTGCGTCTTACTGGACGTAGGAAAGACGCTGCAAGGAAACCTCTTAGGGCCTACTTAATGATAGTCAAGCTAAGAGTATATTTCAGGAACAACTAGGAAAACAGTTAGGCAGCCATGTATGTGATGCCCACCCCGATGCAGCATGGAATGATATCCGAAAAGCTGTGGAAACAGCAGTGATATCTGCTAGTAAGGTAAACCAGAAGGTTAGGGAGCAACACTGGATCTCAGCAGCATCTATCGCACTGATAGATGCTCGGAAACTCATTCCACCTGGCTCTGAACATAATGAAGAGCGGAGTCAGCTTAAGCGCAAGCTGACAAGAAGTCTACGCAATGATCGCGAACAGTGGTGGGTAGCGAAAGCAAGAGAGATGGAAAAGGCAGCGGCAATAGGTAATAGCAGACAATTGTTCAGACTCGTTAAGGAAACTGGTATTAGGAAACCGACCGTTAGCGAAACAATCTCAGAGAAAGATGGACATATTATTCATTCTCAATCCAGGAGATTGGATCGATGGGCAGAACACTTTAGGGATCAGTTCAACTGGCCTTCAGCCACACTTCGGTTTCCCACGATCTCCAGTCAACCTGAATGGCAAGTTAATGTAGGTCCTCCGTCCCTTTACGAAGTTGAAAAAGCCATAGGAAATCTGAAACGAGGGAGAGCAGCAGGCCCTGACAGGTTTACTCCTGAGATTTTTAAGGATGGTGGTCCAGTATTAGCAATGAGATTAACTGAGGTCTTAGGTAGAATTTGGGAACTGGACGTAATCCCATCTGACTGGTCTCAATCACTGATTGTGCCAGTCTATAAGAAAGGACAAAAGTCCTCTTGTGACAATCACAGAGGAATCAGTTTGACTAATATAGTGTCTAAAATATTAGCTTCAATAATACTTCGACGCCTAACCAAAGCTCGTGAAGAGCAGACTAGAGAAAACCAGGCTGGTTTTCGACCTGGACGTGGTTGTATAGATCAGATATTCACACTACGTCAGGTTCTAGAACACAGACACACATTCAGACGCCCCACAATGGTAGTATTTCTCGACCTTAAGGCGGCATTCGACTCTGTTGATCGTGAGGTTCTATGGCAGTGTTTGTCACTGAAAGGAGTACCAAAGAAGTACATTAACCTTATAAAGGCTCTCTACTCGAACACAACTGGTCGAGTGAGAGCTTATGGCGAACTGTCATCAGAATTGATTACCTCAAGTGGTGTTCGTCAGGGCTGTCCACTCTCCCCATTCTTGTTCAACTTTGTCGTCGACGTACTTTTAGAGATAACACTCTCCTCATCTAAATTTCCAGGGGTTGAACTTCTACCGGGAGGTTCACTTGTTGACTTAGAATATGCTGATGACATAGTTTTATTTGGTGAAGACGCTGACAAAATGCAGAGTCTTCTGACCACTCTAAGCAACAATGCAAGCATGTTCGGGATGCGATTCTCTCCCTCGAAATGCAAAATGTTGCTTCAGGATTGGGTTACATCGACACCCGAACTAGTGATAGGGAGTGAAGTAGTTGAGTGTGTCGACCGCTTCACTTATCTTGGAAGTCTCATCAGCCCTTGTGGTTTGGTGTGTGACGAAATCTCAGCACGGATACAGAAGGCTCGACTAGCTTTTGCCAACTTGCGTCATTTATGGCGTAGGCGAGATATCCGTCTATCAACCAAAGGACGGGTTTACTGCGCAGCAGTTCGTTCCGTCCTACTTTATGGCAGTGAAACATGGCCGGTAAGAGTAGAGGATATTCGTAGGTTACTAGTATTTGATCATAGGTGTCTTCGAAATATTGCTCGTATATACTGGGACCATCGAGTAAGTAATGCAGTTGTTAGGAAACGGGTACTAGGTAAGGATGGCAAATCAATTGATGAAGTAGTGAAACTTCATCAGTTGAGATGGCTGGGACACGTGTTACGTATGCCCAACGACCGACTGCCTCGACGTGCTATGTTCAGTGGTATAGGAGTAGGTTGGAAGAAAGCTAGGGGCGGCCAAACCAAAACATGGCACAAGTCCATGAAGTCACTGACAAGTGGACTGAGTCATGTTGGTAGGTGTAGACTACCTGGTTGGGGACCGCGAGATGATAGCAACCGATGGTTAGAGACCCTGAATGACATGGCTCAAAATCGTTTGCAATGGCGCAGGTGCATCCACTCTCTGTGTTCTCCCAAATTCTAATCTTCTGAATTCTTCATGTCCCTTTTTTCCTCTTTCCAAATTTATTTCACTGGATTATACTCTTTAAATAACATCTCCAAACCCTAATCTTCCCGATTACTGCTTATACTCTTACTACCTCTACCACTACGGGATTTGAATCGACAACTGCATCTCTGTGCTAATGTGGTGTGGCAACTCGAACTGATGTACGTACGTACGAAGTTCTACGTTGTTACTGACTGACTGACTTATAGATAAAGAACTATAATTTTATTAACATATTCAGTTTTACTCATAATATGAAGGATAAAAAAGAATCAGGAGTTTAAAACAGGCGGTTAGAGACGGTACTAGAAAATGATCATGTAATTGAGTTTATATCTTGTTATTCAACAGACATATACTTATTCAGGACCAGTAAGTTGTTTGGTGGTTAGAATAATCAAAGTTAAACTATAAGATAACAGGTTTCAACCTTATTTCATGTCGTTGAATTCGGGTGACAGAATAGTATAAATACGCTTCATACAGTGAGTGTAACTTTGATGGCAAGAGAATGGAGATAAACTCAGTTAAAATTCTAATACTGTCCTCTTTACTTTTCCTAAAGGTAGTACGATTGCTCTACAGATCAGAATACTAGCAATAATCAACTGAGATAAATACAAAATTCATATGCATACAGTGATGTGATTATTTGAAAGTTGGACCTTTTAAAAGTTATGCTCATTAAAAATTAAGAATATTATAATTGTATATACACTGATTAAAAATCGGTAGAGATGTAACTTAATGGTTAAAGTGTTAACTTTCAATAAATAAGTCACCATTTTGAACCTCGCTCGCATAACTAAACTAAAACACAAACTTGATTATATGAACACACAGTTTGTGAATGACTTACATAACAAATCAAACTTAGAAAGAAGTTGAGAAATTTCAAACTTGTACAAAACTTCTATCAAGTATCTATCTTCGTTTCTAATGGTTTCCAAAAATTCTTTAAGTTATACCAGTCTTTTCAACATAGATTATCTTCGAGGTAATTTACCACTTATTTATTGATTTCTAGTGAATAATGCACTCATTTCATTTGGACTTTTATAGTACAAAAACACACCACTAATTGGATAGTATCAATCTAATAGTTGTGTGCAAAGTAGAAACCGGTACATATGTGCATAAGTTCAAGTTGTCACACTACATCATTACAATGAGATCAAATTATGAAGTAGTAACACTATTAATAATAGTAGAAAACACTAAGCATAGGTAATATGATTTAAGAAAAAATTAATCCGTGGAATAAAATAGTATGAAATAATTTTAAACCCCAAGATCTAAGGAAACACCGAGTGAAATCATTTGCACCATTGTCCATAGATTTTGAGTCATGTTTTCAACCATTGGTTACAACAATCCTATGGACCTTAATCAGGTAGTTTGCACTTACTGACACGACTCAATCCAGTGATTTCATGAATTAAGGCCAACTCTTGGTTAAGTCATACTTAGTTTTCTTCCAACTTACTGTTAAATGAATTAACATTTTGTGTCGGGGTAGGGGGTAGGTAGTGTCGTTACTTATCGTTATTAGAAAGTTTAGTTTAACTGCAAGATCAAGAAACTATATACTTGGCAAACGAGCTACATTAATTATTTTGATCAATAAACAAATAAATAAGCAAACCTGATAATTTTTCCATGCTTCAGCTTTCTTTGCCATTTGTTCTGCCTCAGCGTGTGCTATAGCTTTTAATGCTTCCGCCTCAGCAAGACCACGTAGCCGAATAGCTTCAGCTTCTGCTTCCGCCTCGGCAGTTAAACGCAGCCGGTCAGCTTCAGCGAGACGTTCCAAACGAAAACGTTCAGCTTCAGCTGGTTTCCGTACTGTAGCATCTAAATGACGTTCTTGTCGTACAATTTCTAATTCCTCTACTTGGATTTGTTGAGTTTTCTCAAGAACAGTGATTTGCATTTCTTCCTCCTTAATTTGTTGTTTAACTTTAGCTGCCTAATTTTTGTTCCAAATGCAGGCATATGTATAAAAGAGACAAGAGAAGGATACATGAGGTAAGAAAAATATCAAGTATTCTTTTTATGATTTAATTAATTAGTACAATTCGATATTCAGGATTTAAATACAAACTGACTGCGCAAATGAGACGAAATTCAAAACCATGATCCGTTACCCGAAGATATAACTGAGGAACAGTTAAACTATCTCTATAGTATTCAATAAAAGTTCAAATATATGGGACTGATTCAGCAGCTGTTTCAACTGAAACTGATAACGATATTATTTTAAGGGTGATTCCATGAAATGCAATATATCTAAGTAGGTATGCAAATAACATACTTTAATTGATTCTGTAAATGCAGAATTAAAACCCAATAACGGCTAAATAGCAAAATGAGGTTGAATACTGTTAGAAGTGTGAGTGGTTCTCAATTCTGAGATAGGAAATATTTTCTTATAAGGCCTGCGAAAGAAACTAGGTTAGTAATGAATATCTTGTCAACATTTAGGTCTGATCACAGAGCCTAAGAGACCTTACTGTCTGAACTGAAAATCCTTGAGGTGTAATGGGATGTGCTATTTTTTGAATAAACCTTTTTAACCCCCTTCTTTCATCTGTAGAAATGCAATATCTCCAGAGACACTGCTCATCTGTGAGAGACAATATACTCCCATCACTCTTGAGTACTGCTGACAATACGATCAAACGGATCGTCCCGATAAACTAACCAGACTGTTCCACTACGGTAACAGCTATAGTTGGATCCGACCACAAATAATTTAAGATATTTAACATGAACACATATTCCATACACTTAGTTCCTTTTATTTCTTTAGGTTCTCATAAGTTACTTACAACCTATAGTATTTTAAGTTCAAAATTATTGTAAAGTTACCCTACTTATAACAGTAAAATTAGTCAGATATAGATATGTTTTATCATGGTATAGTGATGATTTAAAACAACTACAATGAGAAAAGAATCTGAATCATCAAACAGTAGGTTGTGAGCAACTGGTGAGAATCTAACTAAACATTTTGCTCCATAGTTTCGTCAAAGAAAAAAAAGATAAATTAAGTCCATTTTGAACTAAAAATTTAGAATCTTTATTAATACTAACATTATTGATGAGTTTCACAACGTTAATTGGTGCATGATTTACAAAAGTCTTCTTGAAACAATAAAAATAACCACATGTTAAAAATATCAACTTAGTGATATATATATATGCATCATCCCAAGTTCTGTTGAAAACTGAGAGAAAATTGAGAACTTTCGGTACCTACTGTTGCATCTTTATTAATAACGCATTAAGATGGATGGAGATCTGAGTAAATGTGAGAACTACGGAGGCATCACACTATAGTCAGTATCAAAAAACGTTTTCAGCAAAGTGTTGCTGAACCAGATGAAAGACGCAATAGATGCCCAACTTCAATATCAACAGGTTGGATTATGAAGACCTCAACAGTTGACGGAAAATATGGAATACAATGAACAGCTTAAGATCAATTAGACGATTTGAACTTCGCAGATGACATAGTCCTCCTATCCCATACATACGAACAAATGCAGATGAAGACAACTAGTGTAGCAGCAACCTCTGCATCAGTAGGCCTCAATATACACAAAGGAAAAAGCAACATCCTCCAATACAACACGAAGAACACCAACACAATCACACTTGATGAAAAAACTCTGGAAGATGTGGAATCTTTCACGTACCTGGGTGCTAGGGTTGAAGCTATCACGAGTTTACTTAATCTGCGAACGAGAAACAAGACTCGGTGGCCAAAGACAAGTAAGCTAGCTACTGATGCGACCCAGCCCCGCTAACTAGAGGGAGAAGTTCAAGCTTGGAATGGGGAAGTATATTCTGCAAACAGCCAGAAACGAGCGATAACAACAAACACAATTCAAAACTTACATATACAATACTAAACCGTCTTTGGAGAGAGTTACCAAATAGCATACTGAAAGACGCAACGGACCAATAGCAGTTAAGATATTTCCCAGTGGGAAATACGACGTGAAGGTGACAAGAGCGACTTGGGCGCGAGAATAAAGAAATTCAAATTTTCTAAATAAAACTACAAAATGAGGTCCTTTTCCAAGTGAGTTCTGGGGATCTAACGTCCCGAACACTGGGAAGGATTATCGGCGAACAAGGAGGATCGGATGCAGATGTAAAGGTGAGGATTGGCAAAGCAAGGGATCGCATCCCTATAATTGAAGAACATATGGAACTCAAAACAACTGTCAACCATTATCAAAGTCAGAATCTTCAGTACGAATGTCGAGACAGTCATATTGTACGGAGCTGGAACGTGGAGAACTACTACAACCACCATCAAGAAGTTATAAGTATTTATAAACAGTTGTCTGCGTAAGATACTCAATATCCGTTGGCCGAATACCATCAGCAATAGCATATAATAGGAGAGGACAAAACAGCTTCCAGCTGAATAGGAAATTAGCACAAGACTCTGAAACTGGATAGGACATACATTACGCAAATCACCAAACTGCATCACGAGGAAAGCCCTAACTTGGAATCCTGAGAGGAAGCGGAAGGACAAATAATAAATTACGTCGGGAAATAGAAGCAGATCTGGAAAGAACTGGTAAGGATTGCCCAGGGATAGGGTTGGATGGAGAGTGCTGGTGGATGGCCTATGCTCCCCCACAAGGAGTAACAGGAGTAAGTAAGTATTCAGATGGACAGTGAAAAACAAACCACCGCAATGAAAAAAGCATAGACATAATTCTAGTTAGAAATCAACGAAAAATTACCTGTAATTCATAGGCTAATTCCGATTCCGCTTTACGTGATTGTACTTCTTTCTCGTAAGCAGCATTTTGTAATTCAAAATCACGTTTTGATTTAGAAATTTCAATATCATTTAATAGTTTACCGGCAACACGTTGTTTTTCAGCTTCTGCTTCTCGAATACCAGCATCACGTCTTGCCTCGGCTTCACCGATACGTGCATCACATTTAACTTGTGCTGTTCTTGCTAAACCAAGTGAACGTAAATAGCCCTACGAAGGGATGGAGATACACAGATAAGAAAATAACACTGATCGAAATTAGATAGAGGATTGTATAATATGACTGGTTTAAATCAAAATTAAAAACTGTTGAATTTCAACTGAACGACCTGAAGATATTGTACCTGCCATAAGGCATGATGGTGCTAAGGACGTACTGTAAAATAATTCACAATAATATTCATGTTAAAAAATTATGAAAGCTATTTACACAGTACTAAAATGAGAAATGGCTTCAATTTTTGAAGTAAACTAAGAGTGAATAAATTTATGATGGTTGCAAATATAAATCATTTCTGATCCTGTAGATATATAGACATACTAAAACTCACGTTTACCGTTTAATCATGTATTTTATTATAATACATGAATATGATATATGAAGTCACTGGCACCTGTAGCGAACTATAATAGCAGATGCATACTACCTGGTCCAAATTTTTGTGATAACCTTAATCATTGTTGAAGATATTAGATGACGAGACCTAGAATTGGTCACAGTGACACAGATGCATTTAACCTTTATCTTTCCCTTAATATTTAGCTTCAATACTAGTTTATACTTGTATTACTCGAATGCATATCTTCTTTTCGAACAATATTCTCTAATATCGTATTTTTCTCACCATCACTTATACTACTACAATTTAGACTTCTTCACTATTAATCCTGTCAATTTCATTTCTCTATGTTGACATGGTATGACAAATTGAACTGACACACATTTGTCCCAGGCTCTACGTTGATTATGAGTGACCAAAAGGTAAAAGCTAAAAAACAACATTATCAGATCAGAGGTATTTGGCCACTAGAACTTTTAAAGAGTCATTCGTGAATGGTATATAATATGAAGTAAATCAACTGATAAGATATGGGACATGTACTGGTTGAGACTGGAGTGTGTTATATACTTCAAAACGTTACTCAAAGTAGTAACGTAATCTAGGTACGTAGGATGGTAGAATAACTCATTGGAGTTCATTAACAACTGGTCTGAACTATGTACAAAACCAAGAATGAATAGGATAGGCATCGTGAAATAAAAAATCCCCGGTTATTAACAATTTTAGCTGATGTAAGAATCGATCACAGAAATATAAATATCATATTATCATAAATACGACACGTTTTTTGGATTCGCCCAATACCAGCTTCATTTATTTCGAAATTTTCAGATTGCGTAAAAAATTTACTTATCAATCCATCTATGTTTATTACTATTGACTAATTTACACCACGAATGTATGTGAATTGTTCTAAATTCAATTAAACCACCTTATGTGCATTGCTTATGCTTCTGAGTTATTTGTTACTAAAGCATAATCAAGAGATCCTCTCTTGCGTACCGACAAACGGTTCTCAATGAACTACTTGCGCACCTACTTTACAACTGTAGGTGAACAAACATATGTACATTAAGATATTCAACCAAGGTAACTTGTCCTTTATGCAGGTATGTAGTGGTGAATAACTACTGTAAGATACTTGAATGATGGTCAGGTTATCACGAGAACGTCTTATGCATCATATAATCAGGACTTTATCTGATTCATTATCTTTAAGTAGCAGATTAATGTATATTTTCTTTTTTACAGTCATGACCGTTGGATGACTGATCTTCTTAAATATACAACAAATATAATCATTATTATAATTAAATGAAACTGACACTTACAGTTCACACAATATTGTGATTTCAGTAATAATACCTGTTATTGTCTCTTTACTCAATAGTGTGTATTGGATTAAACATTTTATGATCTATTGTTCCACAGTTATATAATATACCCTTGTAGGCCAGGGTAATTTTACATTGGATTTTAGGAGAACCCGACTTTGACGTGACAACCCAAACAGTACAGCTCAATGCTGTTTAACAGGAGAGCCAGACACAGCCCAGGCTTAATCCGAGCAGTACATTCTTATATAAGTGCTCCTAACTTTTGCAGTATTTCATATTATAACTCATTAAATATAAGTTTATATACTCTATTATTTCTGTGTAGTGATAGTATTCTACTGCTCATATCAAAGTAAGTGATTTATTACTTAAAAGCCCAGTGCATTAGACACCTAAATTATCATCTTAATCTGTTGAGTTTGTGTAGTAACCCTATACGAATATTCAACAAGATTAGAACGAATAGTTTGACAGAAATTGGGCGCCGACTATAGAGAAGACATTATATGTAAAAATTATATTTCAAATAATTTTAGCGATTAAAATTTAAAATAATTCCAACGTTTTGTCCAGCTAACTTGTCTAGACTTCTTCAGGGTAATAATCAAAATCAGCGAAGAAATACATAGCGTTTAACAATCAAATCTATGCTGTGTTAATCTAATCATATTTGGATGTTAATTTTAGTAAATAGGATAACATGAGTCAGTTAAATTGTATTGTATGCAAATCCACGTCAACTACTTCCTTACCAAAATCTATGGAATATTTGAATGAGTTATATTATCACATCAAAAGTACTCCACAAACATGGTAGTAAAATACAAGTGGGATGAAAGTCTACTGAGACATATTTCAATGATATTCTAACGTTATGTAGGATAAACTATAATAGATTAAAATAACTTAACAATAATCTTTAAAGAAACTCTTCAGGCTTTAATAGTTCAAGTGTTTTTCATAACACTTAGTCATTGATATCCTATTTTTATTCAGCTGACCATTTCATTATTAACCATTATCTAATGTAGCAAAGATATAATAGCAGGAATTACCAATTTAATTATTTAAGACCCTATAAGTTAATAAAAACTCATCAAAGTTTGTAGGACAAAATAAATTCATTATTCTACTTCACGGTTTCTTATCAGCTGGATCCAACTTATAGTAGGATGAATTCATTTTTATTGTCCAAACCTTGTTATTCTTGCTTTGGTTAAATTTATCAACGGATCTAGTTGGAAGAAATTCAATTGCATCACAAAAAGTAGTTATTGTAATTTCGTGATCTGCCGATCAATAATAATAATAATAATGAACAGAGATAGATGGTGGGTAGCAGTGGAATCCGCGACGCGCGTTTCGTCCTACTTGGGACCCATCAGCTCGATGTACCTTCCACCATCCATCTCTGTTCACAATGCTTCTGACTTGAGGCAATATTGGGGTAAATTGTACAACATACATATATGCCAAAAAGTGACTGATCAATTGCAGTCCTAAACGTCAATGGGAAGATTCAAATAATCAGTACAAGATGAATAGTAATAATAATAATTTGGCTTTTTTAAGTGGTATTACAATCTCTGAGTCTATACTATATTACCAACAATCACTGAGCCCCGAAGAAATTCAGTTAATGAACTGTAGATTCAATTAAACACGGATTTTGAATTCTACTGTTACTAACTATCAAGTGTAATTATATATATATATAGGACTGAGCAATGTGCACAGGTACAAGCTACCTGGTTGGGGACTTTGGGTTGAATTAACTGAAAACCAGCCTCAATGGGGCAGATGAGTTCACTTGTTGTTTTCTCTTAGATCCTGACTCTTAAAATTATTTTATGCTTTTCTATCCTGAGAATTCACTCTATTGTCTAGAATCATATTGTTTATGTCTAATCTTGCCAAACATCAATTATGTTATTACTGTTGAAACAGCTCCCAGAAAGCGAGATAAAGCTTCTAGGAGCTCTAAAAGAGCCAAAAGATCCCACACAATCACAGCCCGGTAGAATTTTCTAGAAAATCAACGTGTGGATGGACAAGTGTATAAACTTCCTGCTTGACGATTGGGTACCCCAAAATGTCCTGGTGCGGCTGAGGATGGGGAGAGTCCGCTTTCCCTCTCAAAATGCTCTCACATGACCACGCATATAATAATGATGTTACAGCACGTATGGAAAACTACATATACACCTGTGTTTCTGTACATTTTGACACTGTAGTAAACGCTTTTCCTATTTTCTTCTGACTTTTAACCTGCGAATTGAGGGTTCTACACGTGCTGAAGTTGTAATCAAGTAGTAAAAATAACAAGTGCTACTTTAATTACCCTGGCATTTATTTAGATACTTTCATTTTTCAATGCTGATATGATATGACAACTTGAACTGATATTTATATGCACCGGATTTCAAGTTCTTGATGACTGACTGGTTAATTTATGCAAATATACATAGAAAATTTACAGATAATTTTACTAGATTACTTTATAAATCACTCAAACTGATTAAAAGTAACCTAATCGATATGCTCAAACTAGTAATTTTCGAATGGTAACTAGATAAATAAATAATGTTGATCGAAACAACTATTGTTCACTGATGAAGAGAGATTAACAAAATATATTAATATGACAATAAGCATTGATAGTTAAGTTTGAACATTAAAAACCAATGAACTACTACTAGTAAATGTTTTAATGTTTCTATTAAATCAATAAGGATCATCAGAAATAACCTAAATTCAAGATTTAGAGGTTATCTTTTTTAACCTACGAAAAAATAACTTTATATTTGATCAAGAATCTAGATATCCAAAAATTAGAGAATCTTTATGTTTTATGTGGTATGAAGTCACATGACTCTGAAAAAAAAATCTGACTGATGTTGAATATCAGGTATGGAATTTCAACTTCGACCGGTTAACTGTTAGTACTCAGTGGTCAGTTAGTGCGGAAAATATCAGTCTTACAGGATAACAATTGTTCAAAATAATTCAACAGCATGTCATTGATTAAGACATTGCGTGACACAAGCACTATTCTCTGATCGAGCGTTGATTTCTTTAAGATTGTAGGTAAGACTGACTGAAGAGTGTTCATGAGTATAAAACTAGGGTTTAGGACTTCCTGTCGACTTACACTAATCGATCATCAAGAGGTAATCATTATCATTTTTGCTTAGTTTTTAATGCTAGCTGATTTTATCGATCAAGTTGCAATATGGGTATTCGCCTAAGTAATTTGACGTTATCTAGGTTATGTTTTGATGTAATAACCCTTTGGAAACTACCTCCAACCATCTACATTCTAACTGACTGCCTAAAGATACATAACATTAAACAGAATGGATGATGAACTCAACTTATTCAGTAAAGTGATTTAGTAAACTGATGTTACTGTGCTCGTCGTGAGACATAAAGGTTCTGGACAGAGTTTCATGCACAGGACCTCCAAAACGGGACGAAATAGGTGTTCAATCCTCTAAAGTTTTCCCCAACTACCTAACTGATGCCAATTTATGATGAAAATCATACTTAAGTTGGAAAATAATCTCGGAGAACCATATATCCAAATAAAAATTATTACTACATACATACCTCATCATCTTTTATATCTTTTAGTGTATAACTAACTACACTAATTCCCATATTCACCAAATCCGAACTGGCTACTTCAAAAACAGCTTTTGAAAATTTTTTTCTATCTTTGTATATTTCTTCAACTGTCATATTGCCCATAATAGCACGCTGATGACCTTCAAGTGTTTCTTGAGCTATTTCACGTATTTCATTTTCTGATTTGCCAAGAAATTGTTCACATGCAGCCGCTAACATTTCTTGGTTACTTCCATTAATTTTTACCTAAATTAAGTTGCATAAAAGTAAAGATGAGAAAGCTCCAATTATTAAATTGTTAAACAATATAAACCGAGAGTCCTTCTACGGTGGATGTAATTAATGAGAATCTTTAAAGTAGGTATCTAGGACATGTCCAAAAATGATGATTTAACCGCTTCAATACAAATGTTCACTGTCTACTTTCTTGTATATAGTTCTCTATAACAATATTTCACAGAGGTGATGTTTTAGTCTAATCAGCGGTAAAACGTTTCTATAGTTTCGGTTAGTTTGACAGTAAAATAGAGAAACAGAAATTATCTTGATATAAAACTAACTCACACTCCCCAGATTTTGACAGTATCAACAACTAGCTAGATACAAGACAGAATAATGGGAAAGTTAGTGAAAATAGCTTTCTCAAGAAAACAGTGCTTATCGTTAATTTAAACACAAGTATTGGTACAAAGCGGCACCAAAATATATATGCGCCACACAATAACAAAATGAGATTGAAAAGGGATAGAGAAAGAAATATATGGTAAGAAACACAACAGATAAACCAAAATAAGTAAATGAGAGTAAAAAAATATAATAGGAGAAACAGTTCAATTAGGAAAAATACAACTATAAGGAATTCTTCCAGTCCAAGAAGTTCCTCTTGTTTGTATGAAAGTAAACGAAAACTGCACTAGAACCACCATTAGCTTTTATTCTGAGTCATGTCTGATAACGTCTTCTGAGACTGTGTTGTACTTTCTATGAGACCCCAATCAGGGAGTCGTGAAGGGCCAACAGATACCAGTTCTGTACAGCTTTATTGCAAACCACGGAACCATGTCACAGACTGACCAGTTCTGTTTTTTCCAACTAGCCCCAGGATCTGCAAATAGTGTACGATATGAAATTCACTGGGATGACATGCTTAGTACATGTCCAAGTCACCAAAGTCGGTGTTTCAAGATAGTGATATAAATTGAATTATCGTTGCTGTGTCCGAAAACACGTTGGAGAACCTCTGCAGTAATAACATGGTGCTACCGTTGAATGTTAGGGATCTTTTGGAGGCAACGATGATCAGACACCGAGAATCGCTTAACTTCCTCAAGTTAGAGAGGTCATGTTTCACAAAACTGCTCTTACCGACGCGCTGTAAATCCGACATTTTACAGAGTCTATCATCACGAAGGAGCCAAAGATGGCCCAGATTGGTACAAAACACTTGTTATAATCTCTATTATTACAACCCATCTATTCCTATTGCTTAATATCCTTGGATGACAATTCATTCGACAAGTCCCCAAATCAAAACACGTTGAACGGGAACGAAACTATATTCCAAATATCAAGGGTAGATAGAAGTAAGAAGCACAATAAGAGAAACGCTAGTATACTTATGGTTTTTACTTGAGAAGATTCTACAGTCTTCTCCAAGTATCGACTAGCGCTGATTGGATAGGAAATAGCCAATCAGCGTCCACGGAACGTGCTTTAATCCAATCTATATTCCGCTAACACCTCTCTGACCTACACTATACCCAATATGATCTCACCACTCACACCGACGGCAACACTTACAAAACTACCCAAATACACGAACTTTTTGACTACTTTTAACTGCTCACTACCAAGAGTGTAGGCACAGGCTCCTACATAGTGCATGACAATATAATCCACATACCCAAGGTCGAAAGGTTCTTCTCCAGGAACGGATCTAAACTACCATTACCAGCTTTTATCAGAGCTGTTTCCTAAAGGTCGCTTATGGGAAAATTGGGGAGTAGTGGTAATATTAGACAGTCCTGCTTAACCTTATTGATCGAGTGGAACAATGAAGAGAGGTAGTTGTATGCCCTCACTTTACCTCAGGTGTTTGTATATAGACACTTTAAGATGTTAATAAACCTTTCAGTCAAACCCTTCATCAACAGAATCCCAGAGAACAATCCTCTCTAACGAACAGACTACATAAATATGCCAAAATATGGTTAAACTTGCTGGATAGTCGAAAGTAAGCATCAGATATTATCACTGATTGAGATCACTAAACACAGCGCACCGCAATATTCAGTAAATTACCTTAGCTATGTTGCTAATATGATCGACAGAACTCAGTTAACATTTAAGCTGGTGGAAATACTATCCAGAAACAGATAAATAAGCAGATAGCTTTTTAAATTTTTGTAAGAACATGTAGAGTTAGTAAGGAGGTTCAAAAACTGACTACGCTAATATGGCCATTTGTGAAAGCCGAATACTATCAGGTTAGAGCTTCACTTTTAATGCAATTAAAAAAAGCACGATTTCAAGTAGACTAAATCATAATTCTAAGAAAGATTCCGTAGCATTTGTTCTTTTGGTACTTGTTTGGCTAGATAACTATAATTTTGCGAACATTAGTTTTTGTCTCCTTACTGAGAGTCTCACGAAATGTAAATCAGAAAACTTATAACATGAAATATCAAGAACATATATCCTACTACTATATTAAGGTAGTGAGGTGGTCTCTGAGTAGGTAAAATGGTACAACCACAAACAAACATACTTGTGCAACACCAGTTACTGTGATAGGAACACCAAGCTGAGTGTAGATTCGAGGGCTTTCGATGATTAGTGTCATTGTATTCAATGGCATCCTTCATTTGATTATTGAAAAAAAGTGAACAGAAACACAATTGCACAATATTCAAATTATTTAGTAATCACAATATAAAGTTAACTAATTAGAAAAGGTCGGATTTAAATAATATCCCAGCATACATGATTCAACGATAAGAGATACAGTGGTGGATTAAAGACTGAGGCGTAAGAACTTGAATTCATGAGATGTACATTTGAATCTTTTTTTTCATCTACTTTAATTTCAGAAACCGCATAACATCACTAACCTACAATGGGTACGGCCCAAAGTCAAGTAAAATGTCTACTTGATATCGGAGGTGTGTGCCCATTTAAAACTAGAAGGAAGGAAATTTGACCACGCAGACTTTCTTAAAGGAGCATGATAGACTGATGTTTTAAGTTTACATCAAAGAGTAAGATTTGATACTACATTGAATTACAGTATTCTCAACACAAACCTCGGGGAAATCGGCTGAGTTAGATTATAAGTACCATAAGCGTTACATCGTAGCCATTTTCAGGTTTATTCCTAAGTTCACGTACTTGATTATCTGCTGCTTTAGAACTTGTTGTGAGATAGCTATATATTTTCTGAAGTACATGAGTGCAAAAATGCAGTTGTTTCTAGATGAAGATTTACGTAAGTTGTGTGTGTAGTGTGGTCAGTAAGGGGGATATGGTTAAGATATACCACCCAGTCGAAAACTTTCTCAATCTTAACAAATTACCTTTGCGTTTTGGTATCGGGAACCCAATATCAGGACGCGAAAAACCAATCACAAAAATACTTACAAACTTCTGCTCCCCTATGGAATCCCTTTCTGTATCAGATAGTGGTTCAAGCACAGATCCTGAGGGATAAATAGCTGATGATGGAGGCACTCTGTCGACTTCATTGAAAGGCTTGAAAAATAAATTGGGTTCAGTGGCACTGAAAGAGACATCTCCAGGTGACTTTCAATTACTACTAGTGTTTTTCCTTAATATTACAGAAGACTGAACAGAAGTATGATACTTTCTTAACTTAAACTGCCATCAATAACTCAGGCACAGATTTCAAGGAACTAACAATTCTGTTCAACAAAACTTGATATTTGCTGAAAAACGCTAACGGAAAAACGTGACACTTGAGACTAGATTCTAGTTATTTTATTAGTCGAGGGTTGTGACTGCAGAACCGCCCACAAAATAATATAGTGTTAATATCCACGCTTAATATTATTTGTTTAGTGAGAGCATATTTGTTGTCCAGTTGGTTATTTTGTCCAAATTGCTTTCAAGGATAGTGACATTTAATAGTTCTCAAATCTTCAATCAACTCTCAAAATCTAAACAAAGTATATTTATAGGGAGCATTCGGTAAATGGTTGATGGATAGGATAAAAGATGTGGGTCGATAGTGAAAAAATATGCCATTCAACTAGTTATGGAAAGCTCAGTAAACAAAAATCAAGCTCGAAAAGTTTGTAACGTGTTATTGAGACAATCCTACGCATATTTAACCAAATATCCAAGCCAGGCACTTCACGATATACTGTTTGAGGTCTAACAGAAGGATACGACCATGGACACTTCGTCCGAATTGAAGGATTAATTGTTCAGTGATTGGCAGGTTGGTGAGAAAGTACCTTGGAACTAGATTCACTAGTAGACCCGTTCATTACTATTTTCATGACTTTCGAAACAAATGATAGGGAGGGAAGTTCTCACCCTTTTTTGTCCGCTGAGAATGACTGATTATAATGTCCAACGACTCAGAATCCGCTATTCGGAGGCTCGAAATTTGGAGTAGAAGGCAAAGTAAGTCAGCAAAATCTCTTGACGTACTAAGCAGAATGTCATTTAAGCAATCAGACTCATTTGGACCCAAATGGTTCGAAATAAGAGAGGTAGGATTAAATCATAAAAAGCTTAGGAAAGGCGGTAGACCTGCTTCCTACTATAAGTGGAGTGAGGTTTATTTAGCCAAAAAAATATAATAACATAGCAGTGACAATTATGAATCGATAGGGATTTTTGTACTTGCAAGTAAACAGTAAGGGCCCTCCTTATGAATGAATTCACACGAGGGCCACATGTTGCCTAAATTTTAAAATAAGTGTACCACACAAATAATTCTATTGAGAATAAGTTAACAGAACTGTCTATACAAGATGTCTACATCAATATATATGTGACATAACCCGCCTGCTTTTTGTGATTTCGCTTTAGGGTTGTTTCCATTTTGGAAAGAATGAAGCGAGTGAATAAAGTACTGTATTGAAATTGAAATAATTAAGAATCATGCTCACCTTTCCACTCTTTGAATTCCTGGCCAGACAAATACTCGTCCACCAGGAACTAGTAAGGGACTTTTATGAAAGCAACCTGTGGCAGTAAGAAAAAGTTAGCGTTTGATCAGAAACATGCCAGAGACAACCATAGCCTCATTCGGGCCACAGGTATTAAAACCCCAACCCATTTACAATCGAAGATGAAAACTTAAAATGTCCTCCATAATAAGGTCATAGGAATGACCTCAAATAACCAATGGTTCAAATGGTTCATATGGTTGGGGACGGAATAGAAGAAGCTTTCGCTTAAAGAGCTTCCATGTCTAGTAGCAGTGGATCACCAATACCTTCAGGCAGGAACCTAGGTATATTAACGGCAGAAGAGGAAAAATAAATTGGTAAATCATAGTAAGATACTATCCTTAGTCCTTAAGAATAGATCAAGTTACCTCTGAAAGGACTCCTGAGAAGTCGCTTAGACCAGCTCAGCTGGCAGCAAGTTCTAGCATTTGACAACTCTAAAGAAGTAGTTGTGTCTACAGTCCGTTCTGCTGTGTTGTGTCTCCAATTTCTGGGTGTTACCCCTTAGGTTTGTGTTGTAGCTGAACTTAAGTAGACGTTTAAGAGGATGCTCAGAAGTGTCAGGGATGCTGTAAGCCATTAGGTCACCTCTAAGACGCCTGCAATCTAATGGGTAAAGGTTTGTTGATTGGTGTCGCTCTTCATAAGGCTTGAATTTGAGTCCTCCGAACTGAATTCATGGCTCGCTGTTGAACGGTCTCGTGTTGTGACGGTGACTAAATTTAGTTATGAGACACTGTAAGCAGCCTAACTCGTCACTATCGGAAAGCCAAAGTTTCCGTTTCGCCAAAAACCCGGGCAGCGTGCACATATTTGTACCCCCTTACTGCGCACATCACTTTACATGTGTATGCGGGAATACATACAGCAAGGTGGATCGTGAATTGTAAGTAAGGTTAAGTAAATTCATAACTAAGTGGCTACGAGAGAAAATGACTTTTAGCGGTCGAATAAGATCACAGGGTAGATGAATATCTTCTTCCATCGAGAAACATTTGGTTAAGACCAGTCACGAGGTTGATATCAAGTTTTTCTATTCTAGTCTGATGCAAGTTACAAGAAGGTATACTAAGGTTTGTTGAGGGCTTGATTATGAGCAAACTGAGACCTCCATTATATGTTTAAGGGCAACCTTTTATTACTTTTGATGTACTTTGGTAATAGCGATTTGATACTTAGCGTGATTTTCACACTGTGTATTTAATTATTATTTTTCCCTCCTCTTAAATTCGATATCTTCCTTTTGAACCAGCTGTGCCTGTTGAATGTCTCATAATTTACCTAATATTATCGTTATTACGTATCAGTAACTAATTCCTATCTCTCATATCAATGTCTCCGTTTTTATTCTAATTCTTACCCCCTTGACTTCTTACAGTGTTTCGACTACCGACCAATTAACGTGTATATTTATTTATTGCAACAATCGCCTTCTCTTAGAACCTGAATATTCACTTGATTACTTTACATAATTCAAGCAACCAGCCAACCTCCTTACTGGCAGTGTAGTAACTGATTGTACCCAGAAACCCTGCCGCTCTAAGACAAACTCAATCAAACTATAAGATGAAAAACCCACAAATATATACTACAAACCTGAATAGAACTAGCACAGCTGAGTGACTAGACTACTACTTATTATACATTACCAAATGCCTGGAGTCGTGCTGAAGCAATAAGAAGCGAACGCAAATAAAGCAATCGATTTATGGAGGCTCGTGACATGATATCAGGTATTGTACAATGAATCAGCGCTTGGTTACATAAAAGCTGCGAAGTTTCGAAATTCTACAATTTTCATTATTTCACCATTTGGTAAAATGTTTTTCAAGAGTGTAGGAAACATGTTGCGCTGAGTATCACATAATTATTCATTTTATTTAAGGTTCTGGTTTCTATCTTGTTCAGCGACAAACAACCAATGAAGAGGATATGAAGGCAAACAAAGGGAAATAAAGGGGAAGATGCGTTGAAAAACGAAGAAAAAAATGGTGGAACAACGCGCCAAAATGTCTGCTTTTTCACATAACGTGGAAAAATTGACATTTTCCCCAAATAACTGACGTGAAGGCGAAAAAAATGACATTTTCCTCTTATTTCCCTATTGTTCGCCTTTATTTTCACTTTATTGGTTGCTTATGGTATTGCTGCATATTCATACACAAAATATTTATTCCTCGATCTCTTATTTTGGAGAAAATTTTGTCCGTTTTGGGGAAATAGAACAAAAGCCCAATTTTCCCCAGAATCTTATGACACTTTTAGGAAATCTGTCCACATTTATTGAATGGTGAAATAATCATCACCAACTATATATAACTCAAAAGACTTTTGGAAGTAAACCTGAGTACTAATCTGGTGTGCCAGAAATGGTGGCATCGTATCAAAGACATTTCTACCAGTCCTGACCATTCTGGTAAACTGAGAAAAGTGGATTCAGTCTTGGCTTAGACTAATGTTCTCACATTCGTTAAGTCCAGGTGCGGTACCGAACAATCGGAGGCTGGCTTGCATTACACTTAGCTTCCTAGGAATCGGACGCAGTGAATTTTCAAGTTGTCGACCGGTAACACCACTCAATGCCCTCAAAACTCATGGAGTCTCTGATATATGATGGTATACGTGACTACTTGTTATCAATAAACTTCTTTTCACCTCCGACAACATGGTCACTTTTGTATAACCAGGCTGTCGACCGCGGTGGACAGATGGACAACCACCCTTAACCACGAGGGGAGGGCTGATGTCATATACCCTGACTTCTGAAAAGCTTTGGATATTGTTAATCGTATATGCCTTATCAATAAGCACGAACAATTAAACATCAAGTCACCGTTTATTGATTGTCTGACTTCATGTCCAAATAATTAACGTTTTAGGGCCAGGACAAACTTTGCTTTTCCTCAGGCTACAGGATGTCATAGTGGGATCCTTCAGGGTTCAGTACCAGGACCTCTTCTTTTCTTGATTTGTATAAACGGTCTTCCACAACAAGTACCGTTTGACTTATTACTTTTCGCTGACGATGTGAAACTTTGGAGAGAGAGATACGCAACCAAGAGGACATACTGGCATTTCAAGTGGATCTGAGTGGACTTCAATGTTGTGAGGATAACAATGGACTTACTTTCAACACATCGAAGTGTAAAGTAGTCTATCTGAGATATGTTGCAGATTGCTCATACAACTCAGGTGACTCCGCCCTAGAGGTATCTCGAGTTGAAGGCAAGTTGGTAGTTTTGTACCTTATGATCTTTAGTCTAATGCCAACTGCAACAAAAATATCTCTCAAGCAAACAGAGCTCTGGTAACGTTGAAGCGCACTGGGAACCAGTTTGACGATAGAACTCTCCACTCGATCCTCAACAACTTTATTCGACCCCATCTAGAATGTGGAATAATAGTGTTTCTTTACTCATGCCAAAAGGATAGCAATACACTGAAACGTATCCAAAGGCGAGAGTATCTCGCCTATTCTCAGTTCGGGTGCCCGAATTCAAACCTTATGGAGAGCTTCTCAAGTCATTGAATCTTTACTCATAAGAGTATAGACGCCTCAGAGGTGAACTTTTGATGCGTTTTAACATACGGAGCACCCTCTCAAATATTTTCTTTGGCTCAGTCCTGACACAAGCTTTAAAAGCAGTACCTAAAAGTTATAATCACGACATAACGAAACAGACTGTCGGCACATCTACTCTCTAGGGGTGGTAAAATCCTGGAATTCACTGTCGTTTAAAGTAGTCCAAGCAACTTCCCAGGAGTCTTTTAAGAACAAGATTTACATATTCTTAGGGACTTGATACAGTATCTCAGTACGATTTACTTATATTATTCTTTTTATCATTAATTATACCTATGTTCCTATCTGGAAGCATCAAAGATTCACTATTACTAGATATGGAAATCCGTTAAGGAAGAGCTTGTTCTATTTCATCCATTACCATCTGAACCACTTTCTCAACTCATATTTTTATTAAACGTAGAGTTATGACCTATTTATTGATTGCCACTATCCATTGTTGATGCTCTTTATAAATTCCAAATCGAATGTAATTTGTGTCACGCGTTTCTGTCATCTTATAAAACTATATACTGTATGTGACACTCCATGTATTTTGTTTAGCCTTGAGAATTCTCAAAAAACTAAGTAGATTAGTTGTTTAAAGTCAGAATTATAAGAATTTGAGAGCAATTGAACAGTAATAGGCTGAATTAACTGGGAGTATTTTAGTCCGGCACCAGTGAAATTATGAGTAATACCTAGCTTTTTTATGAGAGTATATGCTAATAGATTTAACATGGGATCTTTCAGTCTGAGTGGAAGGAATCAAAAGCGTCTGTTAAGTATTTTGGCATGCGGTTTTGTTTACCCAGTTTGTTTTTGAGTTAATCAGTCAAATGGTCTGATAGTTTCTTTTAGTAGTATATCCCAGGAGTTGGTTACTCTTTAGACTAATCTATGATCGTGTAGAATGTGGTATGTCCTGAGCTTTTGAACTTTTCTTCTACCAGTTCTTGGTTTCTTTAATTTAAATAGTCTACGAGAAGAGAATGACCTCCATGCCTATCACGAGATAGTTTCGTTACAAACAGGAAAATTCTATCACCTTATTCTAACAGCTTAAACCTTTTCCTATGGGCCCATTTATTATTAATGCTTGATGATACTACTCAGACATAATTTCGCCTAAACTTTAGAAGTAACCTATTACGGCATATGTTGGCATTTATTAGGTGAATACTCACTATTTTTACGTTTCATGCCTACATTTTAAACATTTATGAATACTGGACATAAACCATGGATGTAGATCTGAATGTTTTGTGTGCGGAAGACGCCACAAAAAAAAACTGATAGATGGCCTGAAAAATTATGCCGTTTATACAGGTAAAAACGTATAGATCGTGAGCTTTAAATTCATTCATCAGATGCTATGTAACTCTTATTAAGTTCAGTGCCTGATGCTTATCACGTCTATTTTGAGCTGTACGTTATGTTATCAAAACCTATTACACCTAAAAGAAGAACAAATAAAGAACCAAAGTCAGTGCCGGTAGCCAAATAAGCATCATACGAACCACTGATACTTCTGTCGTGACTCGATAGCTTTTGGTTGTCATTCATACGTGAGACTAAAGTCTCTTAAGTCTGTACATATGTGATATTGTATATTGTCGTTTAGACATCTAACAAAAACTTCACTAAAGACACATTTACAAAACACTTAATGAATTTGCTCACATATAACTGTTTTGTAATGCCTTTTATGTGCAACAAAAAGTTTTGAGAGGTTTCTAGGATTAATATCTTTGGTTGTAATATACCTTAGCACTGACAGGAGCCAACTAGTATTATCTATGTAAGTAAAAACAAACTCTAAATAAATTTCATACTATAAGACATTATGAGACATGAAACCATTATAACATGTAGGTTCCTAGGAACTGTCTTTCACTTTTTAAAATTATGTGGTTGTTAAGACGAGTGTTTTTCATAGTCATTAATTTTAAGACATTTTTGCTTAGTATACACACGGTTAATTTAAAATCATCATACTGTCAACTAATTTAGCGTAATGTTTAGGTCTTTGAGATAAGATCACATTTATTTACGTTGTTTATTACCGGGAAGATGGTGAATAACTTGATGTAGCTGACAAATGTTCTAGTGACCACATTAAAATAATTTGATTTATTAAGTTAAACTTCCTCATTTCGAATAATTAGGCCTTATCTCCAACGTTTAAGTTTCTAGTAAGCAACTATGTCGTTTAAAATTTGTCATGGATACCTAAATAGATTTATGGTTTAGCAAGTAACATTTCCTTAGTTTCGAATGAATGACTGACAACTGATATAAGAAGTTCGGAGCTAATATTTACTACCTTAACGATAGACCGGACAAGTTTCAACGTTTCTAAATCTCCCATCATAAAATCAGAAGCTGGATGAGTGGTGACAATAACATTCATTATTTAGGTTCGTCATATACGTTGTTACACGAGTGAACTATAGCCCATCTCAATTTATAAATCTTACTAGGCGTATAACTCAAGCAGTTTTTAGTAAAAAGCCTAGTATCGAACTAATAGTCAACCAACTGTGATTGATAGATACTGAAATATGCAGCTACAATGATTGAAAGAACAAATAACTCGCACCTGGGAATATGTAAAAGATATAACAAACCAGCTTTTTATTTAGCATATTAAAAAAACATACGAAATAATTCATCAGTGAGGACCTACCTAATTCTCGCAGTCCCCTTACCCTTGTTCTTTTTTCAAATCGACATCAACAATATGCTATAGGTAACCTAGCAATTTCTTACTAAACGCTTTCATGAATAAAAACTTATATGGTATCCAGAACAGAATTAAATTCATCCAGTATGTTATATCTATACATCAGACTTCACCGGAAAAGCTTACGACTCATTGTTTGGTACTTTAAAATTTTCGTCAGTTCATCCATCGTGTTGCTGGTGACTGTATATCGGTTTCGTTTTCTCCAGAAAATTACCTACTTTGATCCCACGGTGTACTGATTTCATTAACATCCACATAATATCTCTCTCAAAATCTATTACATAAGTTAATATTTAGTCATTGAGTTCTATTTACTTTTAACATTTCAAAAAATATGAACTTAAATGTTCATCATGTTACAGTACCTAATTGTTACTTTGTGAACGGTACGTCAAAATGAAAATTCAAACTCCAAAGAATCAGAAGAGCTTTTGTGGATATTATAGTAATTTTAATAGTTCAATTCTCACGAGGCGGTATCGTGGATACACACTGCAGAGGAGTCCCACAATAGGACGAAAAGACAGTTCAGTGTTTCCAGGTTTACCATGGTGGTCTAGCTTCCATTCACTCATGATCTCAACTAATAAAATTACTATAATACTCACAAAACTCCTTCTCATACTAATCAACATATGCTCACTAGTGACTGGCTTCAAGAGCTATCTTCTGGAGTTCTGGTGAGAAACGGTGACCAGTGGAGTTCAACCAGGTCTGTTGTGAGATATTAAGTGACTGAAGACAATGGTGGATGTGTCGCTCAATTTCGTGAATTAGTTGGAGTTAGACATTAACACCGTTGGGTCCCGACCGGCTGAGTGGTCTAGAGGTTAAGCGTTCTCGCACGAGACTGATAGGTGCTGGGTTCGAATTTCGCGAGGTGGGATAGTGAATGCGCACTAATGAGGAGTCCTACACTGGGACGAAACGGATGTTCAGTGCATCTAGGTTTTCTATCGTGGTCTAGCTTCAATTAACTCATGATTTCAACGATTAAATCGTGATTGTTTATTTCATGAATTAAATAGCAGAAGTGAACAGGCTGAAATCATGAAGAGTATGATGAATTTGGAAATTATAATAATAAAAATTTACATTATTCCTATCTATTAAAATTAAAATATCTCATTCATTGAATATTACATCTTTCAACATGATATATGCTGATTTTACTAAACAGGTTAGATTATACAAAAGTGATGAACTTCAAACTGAAAATCTTGACTAGATTTGTTTAGTTAGGGATTAAAGAAATGAGACTATTATCCCGAGATTTTCCACCATCTATGAATGGAAATAAAATGATTTAATCAAATAAGAATTGGTGCTATGGGTAGAAGTATCATCAAAACTTTATAAGTAGTGATTGAAATTCTAAGTATATTGTACGAAGAACAGAAGCTCAGGCTTACAAATATTCCAATAACGTTCATTTCTATCACCAATTAACTACTTTAAGTTTGATAAGTAACTATCAGTTACAGTATATTAACTGGATATATTTTCGCATCAATGATAGTGTTATTTGATCATAAATGGTTGATGACTATTAATAAAAATTCCTCATCCCAAGTTTCCCACTAGTTAATTCTCACTAACGAGGGGTATCTACGATTTTGAGTTACTTAAACTAACATCCACTGTGGTGTGGTCCTCAGATTTTACTAAGACGTTCTGTAATTTGTGTGTTTAAATACATTCGATTGTCCCTATCTGTGTTCTCATTCATGACACCACGGTAATCAATCTTCATTTGCACCGTTGACTAATCATTTGGCAACTTAAAAGTATCTCATAGTTTTGTTTGAAGATTTTGTACATAAATAATATCTTTAATTTTCCAGAACAAAAGCTCGGAATCCCCTTATATTTTATCTATTTTCATGGTTTATATTCTTGCTACTAACTAAAAAATCACGTATATGTCACAGTGACCTTGCTGTTCCCAAATTGATTGATAAACCTCATAAAATGTTAATTTGCTTTCTCAATATTTTGTCTTGCAGAGAAATAGTAGAGAATCTCTTCAACAAGACTTGTCTACTATTTCCTCTTCCAATGAATGCATTGATATAAATACGATTGGAGAGTTATCACAGAAAGAAGAAGAAGAAGCATAGATCATAAATCAATATTTTTTATAATTGTGCCAATTGTCAGCCTACTACTTATTTCCATATTCAATCAGTTGGTCATTGATTCTATCTTCTAAGTTCTTGCATCGTTTCTATGAGTAAATGATCACTTTAACCATTTCATTTGTTTCAGTATATTATCAAACAAACTGGCCATTGTAACACACTGTTCTTTAACTTTTCCAGATCTCTTATTGTATTATTAATTAAAATACCAGAATTATCTAAGACTATTGCAAAACGTTATCATGGTATACAATTGTTAATAATGAAATGGTTGAATCAATTTACTAATAAATCAAATGGATTGGTTAGTAAAAATATCACATGGAAACTACACAAACAATACTGGATAAGAATGAAGCTTGTAGACAATCGTTAAAACAACAAATTAATCTAATCAATGAATCGCAAATTCCTACAACGAAGGAAGAAAAACCAGAGATGATAGTCAATAGAAAGAAAACGCTTGAAAATAAGAATATAAATGTAAAACAAGCAGCGATTATTATCCAGTCAAATTGGAGAGGTTATTCTGATAGAATGAAAATAAAACGTATGAATGAAAGCATTGGAATTTTACAGGTAGGAATATTTATACTTTTATTTATTTATTGCGATAATAATAAGAAATTTAATTTTCGGCTTGTGAGGACAGTTCACGAATGAACTCGAGGAAGACCTAAGAAGTTCAGAAAGAGCCGAAGATATTCCATCCAATCATCTTTTAGAAGAATATTCCAGAACCCCTAAGTGTAGCTCTCCTATTAGATAAATGCTGATAACCCCTGTATGCAGATTGGAGGACTATAATGATGATTTCGTTATTACTAAAAAACTATAAATATCTGACAGTTTTGTACCATAGATGACACTGTTTGGAGTAGCATTCCTTTCACTTGTGTTCTGTTTTCTCATTTGCGACTTATAGAGGGTTCTAGCGTTCGAGTGCTCAAGTTATACGCGGTATAATAAGAAACTCAGCTTTTAAATATAACATGACTTTTATTCATTCTCAAATTGGGATATGTGCTATTTTGATATTTGATTTTAATAATGATGTATCGAGTAAAGTTACGATTGATTAGTGAGTTAAGATAGGTATAACCTTACAAGTTATATAATATTTGTTCATGAATTCACAATTCATCCATCCTTTAATGCTTAATATGCGTACATTATTAAGGACTTTTGGACATTTTTCAATTTATTTAATGGATGAGTGCCACATATTAGCGTATTATTTTCATTGAGAATTTTATTCCAAACTCTAACTTCCTTTTTATTTTCTTTATTCATCCGGCTAATTGAGATACGCTGTAAATGATATGGTCATAAAAGACATAGAAGATTGGATAACCTCATATGCGATAGTTGCCTTACATTTATAGTTATAACTTGTACACAAATTAATAAAATATGATCAACATATCGATTAAGTTCTTAATTATGGACTATTTTTGACCAGCTACGAGTCAATGTACGTAATATCCTTTAGCCTTTGTTCTGTTGATCCCAAAATAATCCTGAATTTTTGAATAGTTGAATTCATAAGCCAATTGAAGCTAGAATACCATGGAAAACCTGGAAGCACTGGAAGGCCGTTTTATCCTGCTATGGGACTCCTCAGCAGTACGTATCCACGATCCCACCTCGCGAGATTCAAATCCATGACCTATCAGTCTTGCGCACAAACGCCTAACCTCTAGGTTACTGAGCCGGCTGGCATCCAACGGTGTTAATGTCTAACTTCAACTAATCCACAAAGTTGCACTACCGTCCACCATTGTCAGTTGGATGCCGGCTCAGTGGTCTAATGGTTAAGCGCTCGCGCACGAAGCTGATAGATCCTGGATTCGAATCTCACGAGGCGGGATCGTGGATACACACTACTGAGGAGTCCCACAATAGGGCGAAACAGACGTCTAGTGCTTCCAGGTTTTCCATAGTGGTCTAGTTTCAACTTACTCATGATCTTAACTATTAAAATTATATTTGACAAGTTTACATTGACAATTAACTACATTTTGATAATGAAATTTCATATCAATACTTATCAAATGGTAGATTTTAAATTTAAATTCATTTATCCTTACACTAAACAAGAATTTTCTCTGAAATCCTTCAACTTATTCTATCATTTCACAAGCGACATTTTAGAGAACGTCAATTGAAAAAATTAGAAAATGAGCAACAAATTCAACTTGAAAAAAAATCTCAGATTATGATCACAAAGAATCGTCATAAACGTTATCGTGAGAAGTTAGAAACAGAAATTAAATTATGGTCAAGTTTACCTGGTTGTTTAGTTGAAAATGAATGGAATAAAGAACGTGAATTAGCTGCTATATCTATTCAACGATATTATCGTGGTTACTATGTACGAAAACATTTCAAAAATCAACGAGATTATTTAAAACGTGATAAAGCTGCTAGAATAATTCAATTGAATTTTCGTAAATATTTATCACGTATAGAATGTGCATCGTCTGGAAAAGGTGTATCTAACATAGATCCAACAGAGGATAACTTAATCAATAATAAAAAGTTGGAAATCACTATGAAGAAAGTTCTCAAAGTAAGTAACATTTCAACTACTTAATATGTTTTCCATTTATTTATTTATTTCAACACATAAATATTAGTACAAGAGGGCACCAAATATATATGCGCCACACCATATTTGTGTGTGTGGGCTGTGATACTGCCCGGGTGCCCAGACCGAAGCAGGTGATGTTCTTAGAAGGCCACACCCAAGCCTTGACCTAAAGCTCTGATTCACAAGGCAGTGGAGCATCGTGAGGAGATGCAGTCCCATGGTAGCCGGTGACCAACGATTGGTTCATACACCATTTGTTCCCTCAGCATACTGGAGTCCATGTGCACCATTGGTTTGAGATCCGGTTAAATCGCCGGACATTCGGTTCTCGTCCTCTCAATTTCGTAAACAGCACCCCCACCACGAGAAGGCAGTGAGTAGGACTTCTTTGACAGAAGCTGTATACGCGTAGCCGTGTGAGAGCAATTCGAGATAAAGGGCGGGCACACCCCACTCTCGGCTATACCAGGGCATTTGGGGGCTTTGTGAGTTTAAATTCTAACACATTTTATTAATTATTGTTCGATGTACTGATGTATGACTTAATATGACTTAATCCACAAGTTTATCAAATTCTATATTGTTTTTCACTAGTTGACCAGTGACGATTTGCCCTACTAGAAAACAGTTGGAATAGTTTTCAGAGGTATTTAAAAATGATTCATAATAATGTGAATGCGATAACTTTAAATGTTATATTTGGATGTATCGAGTAAGTATGAGAAAATAGAACATCTCTTCCTTTGTTTAGTTATGAACGACGATGTTTAAAAACAGGAATGGACATTCATCCTTTAGTCAAACACTTGATTTCCCGAGTTAAAATCAACTGACGTTTTTTCTCATCCAACTTGTTCTAAGCTACAAGATGTTGATTTGTACACAACACAGGCCTTAATGATCCACTTAAGTAAATCTAATTCAAAAAATTCTTGCACAGTCCTTCACTTTGTTCTTGTTATTTAATGAACTTCATGCATTCAGCTTTACTGATATGAACTTACAGATTATTAAACTAATGTTTTATTTTTCCAATTCTTATTCTTATGGAAAATCATTTTAAATAAATAATCGATTTATTCATAGTTTTATGATTTATGTTTCTATTATTATGCTAATTTCCTGATCAACTCTGCCTGTAACTCTCCTAGGGCTACTGCCGGTTCGAAGCCTTAACAAAGGAGGAGTGTCGGGCATAAAGTCAGCATCCCCATGCTGTAAAAAACAACCTTGCTAAAAGAACGCAAACCAAAATGAACAAATTAAACCATTTAAATCCTGCCCTGGGATTTGAAGGGAGAATTAGGACGTCTCATGATAAAAGCTGTGATTCTTCGGAAATCGCGAGACCGATTTCTTTTCTAACGACCAGAGCAATAATTAATATAGGTACATTGAATACTCGAGCAATGTGGTTCACCAAGAGGATCAACGAGGAGATACAACTTGGTGGTACTCGGAATAAGCGAAACCCATTGGACCAAAGATGAACAGAAGAGGATAGATTCGGGAGAGATGCTGCTGTGTTCGTGTCACAATGAAGAAAATTCTGCACACACTCAGGAAGTTATTCTGATGCCATCCAAAGAAGTACGTTAAGCACTTATAGGATGGGAATCTCATGGATCTAGGATCATCAAAGAATCCTTCAAAACAAAAAAATGAAGGAATCACAATGAATGTTATCCATTGTTATGCACCCACCAATGATAGCAACGATGACGATAAAGATCAATTTTATGAGAGGCTCCAGTCGATTTTAGATAAGTGCTCAGGAAAGAACCCAACAATTCTGATGGGTGATCTAAATGCTAAAGTCGAAATGGATAACAACGGTTATGAAGATATCATGGGACGACATGGGCTAACTGGGAGAAAGAAACGAGAATAGTAACACATTTGCAAATCTATGTACATTCAACAAAATGGTTATAGGCGGCATGATATTCCACCACAAACTCATACACAAGGCTACATGGATCTTACCGCGTCACATCATAGAAGACCAGATCGATCACATTTGCATCACCAAGATGTTTAGAAGGTCAGTGGAAGGCATGTGAACCAAGAGAGGAGATGACATAGCTTCGGATCCCCACCTGGTGGTGACGTACATTAGATATATAACTAGTAGTATGTGGCAGGAATCGGAAATAGAATTCTTACTAGCTAAAAACTAAAACGAGGTAAAAAGAAATGAAAAGACGATGGAGTTTGTAAGGGACAACTCAAGGATGATATGCCAATGGTGTGAATAATGTATTGTTTCCTGATTTTACGAACGTAGTGTGTAACTTTGCACAGTATGGTCGATTTTCCCTTTCACAATACTAACCTATTACTCTACCTTTGATTTCACCCGATAAAACTGTAGGGAGTAATTAGCTACAAATGAATTTCTTGAATAAGTTCATATACTGTCGTTCACAATGTCACAGCACGACTGTAGTCAAAACAAGTAACTATGTACATACTCGATAATTGTATCCTGTTACTAAAATATGAATTAATACAATTAGTAGAAAAATTCTAAATAGTAGTCGGTTACAAAGAGAACAATCAACACACTCATACAGAACAGTAGCAGGGACAAAAAAACGAATCAATAACATAGTCATGCTCACATAACTGGTGTAATTTCATGATCGATCGTTACATAAAAATGGCAAAAGTATTAACCGGTGAAAGAATAAATGAATCTTAAGTGGGGGATGTTCAACTCAAATACCATAGGTTAATTTAGCCCTGTCGATAGAAATTACCAATCTCCCCAAAACGGCCCCCATGCTCTTTTGTCAGCATTATTCACTGTCGGACCTTGTGAACTACGGTAACCATATCTGTCATGTAAGGGGACATTGTCATTACTAAAACTTGCATAGAATATGCTTGTTGTACTGTAATTTGCACTAATTTTCCCTTTTACAACATCGACATCTCTATTATCCCTATTACTACTTCGGCTAACAAGTAGGCCATATCTATTTATTAGACATATCAGCTTGTTTCTTAACAAACTCAATAAGATCGCCAAACAGAGGCTCTCAATTTCTTTTAATAATCCCGTAAGCTACCTTTAGCCAGTCTTGTTGAACGTGCGTTGGTAATTTAAAAATTATAGTTTAAACAGTTCTGGAAGAGTTTAAACCAGAAACATAATTCATCTATCCGATAGTCAAACCACATGCTTGCATTACTCTAGATTATCTTTTCAAACAATCTGATTGGTCCCTTCTTGTATTAGGAAAATTTAACAGGTTGTCAGTAAATGTGCATAATGAGACATGCATTCGACCAAACGGTTCCTCTGGAAGCTCTAGTGTTTGACGATAATCTATCTCCAATTCTAACAAGGTACTATGAAAGATAGGACCTTTTGCTTCTCTGTCACAATACTGGATTACATAATTCAATTTAGCTCTAAATCCAAAATTTTCATCGTCGATTCACTTTTCGAATTAAATTACATTAATTTACTGGTGTACTATCGAATCTTAAGATTCCTCTCTGAGGTATATATAGATTCTTTAGTATTTCATTCTCGCTAATGTTTACTGACTGACCAGAACCTTCACTTCCCTGGTGACGTAGTTTTTTCCATTTACACGTAACCAGGCCAATCTAACTCTATCAGGCAGTTGGTCTAAATTGGTAAGGAATCAAATATTTTGTTGAATAATGTTAAAATTATAAGACTAGTTTTAATAACCATAAATTAATATTGAAAAATGGGACAAGAGTAAAAAATGTGAATGTTGTGGTTAAATAAAAGTGAGGTCATGCAAACGAAACCAAGACATTAAAGGATGGGTAGTGCAGTAGTGAATTGGTCAACACGACAGCGCCGGGTGAAACAAGTTTTTTGCATACATAAGCTGGGTTTAAGACGACTCGTTGCTTCTGTGTAATATAAAAGTCTGTTGTTATTTGCTACTTGAAAGGTAGTACCAGGGTTTGCTGAATGACCCACGTCTTATTTATGTTTTTCCATGGAATTGCTAGGTTGTTAACGGCCATTCATGATTAGATTCTTTGAGTTAACTGAAAACTCAGTTTTAACTAGATGATCATTATGAAATTTTTAAAATATTCTCTCTTAATCCTTGTAAAGTTATGATGAGACGTTGGTTTGGACAATTGTTGTGAATTACGTCATTTAAGTTCAATGTACACTGTTCCATGTGGAAAGATTAACTGACAGGCTACATGATAAGGTGGTGTTCAAATCACTCTTTTTGTTAGTTGATTTGACTTTTTAAATAGCAAGTCGAGTTTAATTTTCTCGAAATCGAAGCTAATTAGTATGATACTATCGTTCATATAAAAAATTCAAGCCAATTCCAATACCTGTCGGTTTATGCTTTATTTCTTAGCTAGATGGTTAATTAGGTCTTAAGATATTTTTCGTCATGAACTGATATTTTCCATTGAAGTTTGGGATTTCCGAGTTAAATAGTATCAGAAAACTGATCTTCACCGAGAAGGTCTACGTGAAAACTTGGGAGAAGTCGAATGGTCTCCAAGCTTAAGACGTTTTTTTTTAAACTAGCATCCGTAGCGAGATCAATAAAGTGACCAAGTGATAACCGTCTAACATTGAACTATTTAACCGAATTTTACTAAACTTTAATGTTTGATTTCTTAAAACCACTCAGGAACATCAAAAATGGTGTGAAACACATCAGCAAAGTATGAGACCAATCAATCAATTAGGAGATGTCCATAAAGAGACTCAAGTCAAAATTGATCAGTATCGCCGTAATTATCGAGTAAACAGTATTAAAGTAAGATTCACTTGTTCAATATTGTTTTTCTAGTATTTTTATTCACATGAAGTGAAGTTTATCTACTTAAATCGACAAGAATATTTGCAAGTTATGGTGAGATATTAAGTAATAAATGACTATGTACAATATGATACGGAATCGTCAATGTTCTTACATTCATGTTTAGATAGAAAAGCTTAGAATTAGAGTTTATTGGTGTCAATATTCATCTGAAGAACATACTGTTAAAGTTAAGATGATTTATGGATACCGTCGGAAATTTGAATCCAACATTTTCAAAGGTTATCGTTTTAAACTATTTGATCGACAGTGTAACTATAAAACGCAATGTTTTCCACTGGCCAATGACTAATTAGGACCAATTACGTAAGTTACTGATAAAACAAGTAGAACACTATTCATCTTGTTAAAATACGTAATGAATGTTTCGGTCTGTATAGAAACGAAAAAACCTTTAAGATTGTAGATTAGCTATTTTAATGAACAGCAAATAAATGGAGTCAGATCATAGAATAAATAAATAAAATTTCCACTGAGTAATATTATGTTAACAAGACTATGAAGCAATCTAAATGTTATTTGGATGCGATTCTCCCCATCGAAATGCAAAATGTTGCTTCAGGATTGGGTTACATCGACACCTGAACTAGTGATAGGGAGTGAGGTAGTTGAGTGTGTCGACCACTTCATTATCTTGGAAGTCTCATCAGCCCTTGTGTTCTGGTGTGTGACGAAATCTCAGCACGGAGACAGAAGGCTCGACTAGCTTTTACCAAATTGCGTCATTTATGGCGTAGGCGAGATATCCATCTATCAATCAAAGGATGGGTTTACTGCACAGCAGTTCGTTCTGTCCTACTTTATGGTAGTGAAACATGGCCGGTAAGAGTAGAGGATATTCGTAGGTTACTAGTATTGGATCATAGGGTGGCCAGACGAAAACATGGCACAAATCCATGAAGTCACTGACAAGTGGTTTGAGTCATGTTGGTAGGTGTAGACTACCTGGTTGGGGACCGCGAGATGATAGCAACCGATGGTTAGAGACCCTGAATGACATGGCTCAAAATCGTTTGCAATGGCGCAGATGCATACACTCTTTGTATTCTTCAAAATTTTGATCTTATTCCTGCTTGTCTCTTTTTTTTCTCTTTCCAAATTTATTTCACTGTATTATACTCCTTGAGTAAGATCTTCAAACCCTAATGTTTCCGATTACTGCATATACTCTTATTACCTCTACCATACGGGATTTGTATCGACAACTACATCTCTGTGCTAATGTGGTATGGCAACTTGAACTGATGTACGTACGTACGTACGTACGAAGTTCTACGTTGTTACTGACTGACTGATTTCGATCTCCTATATAACACTCAGCACCAGAAATCACTTGCATGTCAGATTAAATATGACAAATTTAAAGAAAATATCGTTACATAATCATGTGCACTATCTATACAAATTTAATGATTTTTGACATAATCATCACATATATTACATTGGTACCACTCTTTAAAATATAACGTTCTGATGAAAAGATTCAAGGGATAACTATATAAAATATTCAATTGATAAATACGATAAATATCTCTAGGAAAATATGCTTTATTTGATTAATTACTGGTATTCACTTACAGTCGTTAAATTTCAGATTCGAATTCATTTAGTTCAATCAAAAATTTAGTGAAATATAATAATTTTTTTTATTTTTTCAGACTATCCCTTTCCCTAACTTGGTATTGTCTGGCTTGTATCTTCCCATTGAGGTTCAACACTGCAATTGATCAGTCTGTGATTGGCAAATGTGCATACTGTGCGTATGCCTCGATATTACCCTCATTCACAAGCTATTTGTAAGCAATGATGGATAGTGCTAACAGTGGAATCTAGTTTGACGCGCGTTTCGCCCTGTTTGAGACTCGTCAGCTGGATGTACCTGCATCTCAGAGTTGATGTTCACTGTGTGACTCGAACCAGTACCATTCGCTCAAACGCCATCGCGTTATCCACTCAGCTACTGAGTCCTGATAGCCACTTGAATTTCAATTCCTTGGTATTGTTTGGCTTGTATCTTCCATTGAGGTTTAAGACTGCAATTGATCAATCTCTTATTGGCATATGTGCATTCTGTGAGTACTGTCTCGATATTGCTTGAAGTGTTTCATTCTCGGTAATGCTTACTGACTGATCGAAACCTTCACTTTCCTAGTGACGTATCTTTCCCGTTACACGTAACCTCGATTCCACTGCTAACCATTATCCATCTTCGCTCATTCGTTTCCCTCTTAATTCATTTAAAACACTCGTTTTTACTAATGCATTTATTTTACTTTAATTTTTCAGTAATACATAACTAGTGATGTTGGCTTCAAATGACTAATTATCTCAACATTTTGAATACTTTTACTAAATAATCATTCAAACAGTGGTTCATTTATTAAGACAACTAATTTTTGGATATTGGTTTATATATATACCCAGTAAAATATTTACTTGAATAATGAGTTTGATTAAGTTTACTGATTATAATTATCAACAACAACAGTAATGTCCTATCACTACAATTATTCAATTACAACAGTTTGGATTACACTACCTTATTCTTATTCTTCATCCGCACTTAATCAGTTGGCAATCAATGTACGTAGGTACATTGTGTGCTTTGCACCTTCGAAGTGCAAAGTACTTCTACAAGACTGGCAGGATCCTAATCCTGTACTCACCCTGGATGGTGAACAGATAGAAGTAGTCAAGAAGTTCGTGTATCTAGGTAGCTACATAAGTGCTGATCGTGGCGTGAGTGATGAGATCAATGCACGCATAGTGAAAGCCAGAGCGGCTCATACCAATCTGTGCCATCTTTGGCACCTTCGTGATGTCAGTCTGGCTGTAAAATTTCGGATCTACAACGCGTCGGTGAGAGCAGTTCTGCTCTATGCTTATGAAACCTGGCCTCCGAGTTGAAGATGTTAGACGACTCTCTTTGTTTGATCATCGTTGTCTCCGAAGAATTGCTCACATCCAGTGGCAACACCATGTTAGTAGTGAAGAGGTTCAGCATCGTATGTTCGGTTGCAGAGACGATAATTCAGTTGGTGTCACAATCTTGAAACATCGACTTCGGTGGCTTGAACATGTTCTACGAATGCCGTCCCAGAGAATTCCGCGTCATACATTATTTGCCGTTGCTGAAGCAATCGCGATAAAAATAACTCAAACCGAATCTATATATTCAAAAAGAGACAGTAATAAACCTATTAGTACCCTGATAATTCAATTTTTGGTCATTAATTTTATTTTGTTAATGTTTAGTTTGTTATATTTCTCTTTCACTACCGAATTCTTAAACCAACCCTTCACCCATACATTTCCACTCACTTAATTCTCTTAATTATGTGAATTCTTCACATCCTATTTAATTATTACGTAACCCATCTTACCAGTTTTTTTAATTCCATGAATCTTATGTAAACCGTCTATTACCTCTAAAATTACCACATAATTTATCTTATGTGCAAAGACGGATAGTGGCTAGAATTGAAATCCAGGATGCGAGTTTCATCCTATTTGAGACTCGTTAGCCGGATGTACCTGCACCTCAGAGTTGATGTTCACTCTGCGACTCGAATTAAGTACCGTTCGCCTTAAACACCATTGCGCACAGCATACATATATGCCAATAAGAAACTGATCAATTGCAGTCCTAAACATCAATCAATTGCATGAGATTAATGCATAATTCGATATTTTTTATACGTTTTTATGATTTTTAATGTTTATTTTCTTACTTATCTGTATATAAACATTTTTTAGAGTCAAACTAGACAAGTGACATTAACAAGAATGAAGATCGACGCCGATTTACTGTTGAATGAGTTCACTGACGAAGAAGAAGAAGAAGAAGAAAAACAAAAAGATAAACAATTAAAAAATGGGATAAAACTCAAGAAAACAACAACACTAAATGAAATAGTTGATAAACATATTGAAAATTCTGATTTAACTAATGCATTTAGTCAGTTCACTTGTCGAGTTCAACCACTGACACGTTTAGCTCAAATGGAACATCACGATAAAATGATAAGAATGAATTTAAATAAATCATGGTGGAATATATTCATGGATGAATGGAGAAAGAAACAAGATGAGTATATACTATCGTATAATAAAAATTGCTCAAATTTGATAGATACCAACGTTACTAATTTAAATGTTGATAATGATGATTTATCATGGTTACCTGATCGATTTATTGAAGAATTGGAAAGTCGGGATATTTTTCAATGGTGAAATATGCCTTTTTCTTTGAATTATATCTTTTTGCTTAGGGTAACGCATACGAACGTGAACTAGATTTATCAGAATTAATTTTATTGCTAAGAAAAAATCATATGAATTTCAAGAACTGGATTCAATATGTTGTACTTTAAATTTTTGTACACCACCCCGGTGATAACAGAACCTGTTACCTGATGTTACATTCTAACAGTGGATTAAAATGTCTCATGATGTCTTCATATAGTCACAATTGATTGATCACTGGGTAGTGATCAATGTCATGTGTGTCAAGTCCTTATTTAGTGCAGATCGAATGCTATCGATCATGTTGCAATGTGGCCACCAGTCTATGTGACTCGACACTGCGGCATTATATATTAAGATTAGATGGTGGTTTAAGGTAGTCGGCAGGAAACCCTGGACACGGGTTTCGTGCTACTTGACACTCGTCAGCAAGGTGCACCTGTAATCTTGAGGGAACTGGTGCCCCCTGACGGGTTCGATCCCGTGTTACCCAGCTCCACAGTCAGAGACGTTACCACTGAGCCATCCGGGCCGCGACTGACCTTCTGTAGGACTGAGATGTAATCACAATTGATGGATCACTGGGTGGTGGTGGGAAGATACAAGCCAAACAATACCAAGTGAATTTAAACTTCATCCCATCACACAAACAGGTGGCTATCAGGACTCAGTTGCTAAGTGGATAACGTGGTGGCGTTTGAAGCAAACGCTACTGGGTTCGAGTCCCAGAGTGAACATCAACTCTGAGATACAAGTACATCCAACTAATGAGTCCCAAATAGGACGAAACGCGCATCTTAAATTCTACTGCTAACCTTTATCCATCTTTGCTTATAAAGCTTGTGACTTGAAGCAATATCGAGGCAGTCCTTACAGCATGCCCATATGCCAGCAAGAGACTGATCAATTGCAGTCCTAAATAATAATGGGAAGGTAAAAGTAAAAAAAACACCATGTGAATATGTTTCAAATAGTTTGTAAAGCCAACTAATAATAAGTTAAATCAAAGAGTCATATTCTTTTCATATAACTCAGTCAGTTGACAAGTGGTTTTGTCATTGAAAATCTACTCAATTTTCGGTTGAGCATAGATCCCTTAGAAAAAATCTGACTTCACCAACATCAAACTCGCTAGCAGCTTTAAAAACCAGTTAAGATTTAATAACTTCTGACAGTTATTAAATCATGAATATTAGATCACTGAAATGCTTCCGGACAGAGTTTGAAAACATTGTCAGATAGTTATAAGTAATGTAGAACCTCTTACATATGAGCATCAGTCCACGTTGACATATCATATTACATTGAATTGCAATTATCAAGACAAACGACACACTAGTAATAATAATAATATTAGTAGTAGTTGTAGTAGAAAAGCATAAGCAATATGATTTAATAAAAAAAATGAATTTAGGAAACTGGAAAGTATAAGATAATCCTGAAGCTTAAGGCCTAGTGGAAGGCAAAGACTTAATACATCTGTACCACTGCGACCGATTTTAAGCTATGTCACCTATCGTTTTCAACTACAGTAGCATTCATGTGAGTAACAATTCATTTGATGATGACAATTTATGGATGAACCTGTTAACAATAAACAATGTAACTTAATATTCGGTACACAGTTGTTAATATACTGAATAAACTGCTTATTGAAATCACAATATGACTATACAAATCTTACTTAGAAGATAATGTAAGATACTGATTTTTATGTAAGAAAAGAAAAAAACGTGACTAGCGACTTTTATAATAATTTTGATAACCAATTCATTGCTGGTTCCTATCCGATTATCTTTAATTCATACTTTTCAATTTTCTGCTGTCAGGAATTCCACCTCCGATTGCAGCAACGTACTACTTTTATTAAGTAAACGCAAGTAATATAAACCAACGTAATAGTAGTAGTAGTAGTAGTAGTAGTAGTAGTAGTAGTAGTAGTAGTAGTAGTAGTAGTAGTAGTAATAGTAGTAGTAGTATTTCGCTATAGTTTCTGCTTAATTCTATTACGTTCCTCTTCATTATTCTCTATTGATTTGTATATTTTCAATGATTGTCGTCGAATATTATCATTTGTTCTCTAAAATCCCATTTGAGCAGATTCTTAACAAGTTAGCTGGATGACATCGGTATCCCATTCGATTCTATTATACCTAACTAATTTAAATTGGATTTTATACATACTAAACAATCCAAAAAAGTAGACAGATTAGTAATTCAGACTACTCATATTGTATTAATGATGAGTAAACTGTCAAATATAGGTGAATAATTGAATAAGGTAGGGAAATTTCAAGGCTGTCCAATGGAGATTTTTTAAGCAGAGGTTGATGGTGGATAGCAGTGGAATCTCGGACGTGCATTTCGTCCGATTTTGACTCGTCAGCTGGATGTACTTGAATCCCAGAGTTGATGTTCATTTCACCACTCGAACCCAGTACCGCGCCATTCACTTATCTACTGAGTTTAGATACGAAGAATTATTTTATGTTGTTTACTGCGCAGTTACCAAATTTTGACTTATGATGTTCCTACTTTGCTAATTAACTGTTGATGTATATCTTACCTTCTCCAAAACACCTACTATTCGGTTTTATACCACACATAACCTAATTATGTGTCAGTTGTGATTTTTTATTTGTAGGACATTGTGATTATGAAACTGACCCATAATCCAATGAGTTTTTAAGTTACAAAACCATAGAGGGTAAATCTGCTAGCTGTTTTTGTGGACGACTTGGTTAATGAGGGTAAGAGGAGCTGGGTGGACTAGTAGCCACTAACTACGTTGTAAATGCATTTCCCAACGTTTCTTCATTGGCTAATGTTATAAGTTTATAGATAGATGAATTAACAATTGAATACTTAAGTAAATTACCTTTTTCGATTTAGACAGCTAGGGAGTATTAACATATTGCTACCTTTTAACAAGTTTGTACATTTATGCATTTAGTTTTGAGTCACATCTTGAGTATAAGGTCTAATGTTTCACTACCACTCAATGAGTAGAGTAGAATGGAATTCCCAATCATAGTATAGGTATCTTATTACTTGTATATTGAATTCACATGAAATATGACCTCTTAGATTAGCGTAATTTAAAGTTATTAGAAGTTAGTCAGTCACAACGTAGAACCTATACGTATGTACATTAGTTCAAGTTTCCATATTCCGTTAGCACTGAGAGATGAGGTTGTTAGGCTAAATCCTAGTATACAAGAGTACGAGTGGTAATAGAAAAAATTGCTGATTGAAGGTATGGTTCAAGAAAATATTAATTAGTGAGATAAGAAAATATTATAAGAAAATTTAGAAGCCTAAAATTATGGGGACGACAAAGAGTGGATGCACCTGCATCATACAAAGTCTCTAATTATTGTTTACGATAATTACGTGGATCCCAACTAGGTAATCTATACCTATTAAGTTTTTGATTGAGATCATGAACTAATTGATGTTAGACCACCTTTGGAAACCTGGAAGCACTGGACGGCTGTTTCGTCCTATTGTGGGACTCCTCAGCAGTGCGCATCCACGATCCCGCTCGCGGTTCATAATCTCAATCAAAAACTTAATAATCTCCACAACCCCTATACTAGTATACCTATTAACTTGGCTAAGTCCAATTTTCATTGACTTCATGAACTGATGCCATATTTTTCTTTGACTACACCTAGCTTTCTTCCAGCCTACTCCAACACCACATAACAACATCTGTCGAGATAGGCGGTGCCTAAGCATACGTAACATATGTACCAGCCACCTTAGTTGATGAAGATTTACTAATTCATCGATTAATTTTCCATTTTTATCTAGTAATCAATTCCCAACTCACGCATTGCTTACCCAGTTTTTTTAAAGTACACGAGAAATGCTCCATAGACATTTATGACTGAATACTAGTAACCTACGAATATCCCCTATTATTAATGGCCCTGTTTCACACCCATAAATTTGGCAAAAACCACTCGAGCCTTATGAATGCGTGTCGAGATTTCATCAGACACTGAACCATCAGTGCTGATAAGACAACCTTGATGAATACCACTTGAGATAACCAATTTTGATGACAGTTCACCATAAACTCTGACTCAACCATTAGTGTTCCAGTAGAGAGTCTGTACAAGGTTGATATACTTCTTTCAGATGTCTCTCAATGACAGACACTGTCACAGAATCTCACAATCAACAGAGTCAAGCACCAGCTCAAAGCCTAGGAATAAAATGAGTCGGACGTCGAAATATATGCCTCTGTTCCAGAACCTACTGAAGTGTGAATATTTGGTAATACATTCATATCCAGATCAGCCTAGTTTTCTCAGATTTGTTTTCACCAGTTCTAGTTAGACATCGAAGTATTATTGAAGCTGATATTCTTGGAATTATATTAGTTGAACTGATTACTCTGTGAGTGTCACAAGGAGATTTTTGTCCCTTCTTATAGATTGCAACAACCAACCATCGAGATCAGTTAGATGAGATTTCGTTCAGTTTCCAGATTTTAGATAAGATCTTGGATAATTTAACTGCCAAAACTGGGCGACAGTTCGAAAAGCTCCCAGAAGTTAGTACATCAGACCCTACTGTTCTCCATTGCTCTAGATTACCTATAGCCTTTTCGGCCTTAGTGAAAATTGGGGGACTTGTATCAGTCCTCTACATTGACAAAGTGAGGTCAAATGAATTGTCATACTTGGACCCTGTGTATTCATTTTAGAGATGCAATATACATCAACAGCACGAGATTCTCGAGTCCTGGCTTAATAAACCTGTTTTCCTACCTGACACAAGGTGTGAATATTAAAAGTTCCAATATGTAATTTAGAGCATGCTTTCAGGAGTCTAGGAATAACATTTCGTGAACTCAAATCACTAGAATTGGTGGTGAGTGCTGATTAAGAAAAATGAGAAGGGTTAGTTGTGGGTTTAAGAAAATTATTAAGAATTGAGAGAGGGATTTAATCGTCAACAAGACGATCTCGGATGCT